CCCCAGGTGTTCCCAGCAGACCAGCTTGTCCCCGAGGCTGTGAAGACGGCTGAGAAGATCGCGAGTCACTCCAAACTCGTCGTTGCCATGGCGAAGGAAGCGGTGAACGCCTCGCAGGAGATGACCCTGCGGGAGGGGCTCCGGTTCGAGAAGCGTATTTTCCACGCGTCGTTCGCGACCAACGACAGGAGGGAGGGCATGGCCGCCTTCGTGGAGAAACGCAAGGCTGACTTCACAGACAGCTGAGGCTTTGTGGGTTGTTAGTATTAAGCATTTTGGTAGAACGCACTGCACCTGCGTGAAACCCATAATGGCAGAACGTCTCATATAAGGTCATATTTGTATGTATAAGGTTAACTGTTGTGTCAGAAAAGATATTCTGATGCAAGTTCATGCAACTGTGACCAAAAGTCTGTTGAAAACCGTGAAAAACCAGGGTTTTGCACAGTCTTGGTGGAGACTAGTACATGTATCAGCTATCACTTGACTTGTGACACTCAACACTAATCAGTGTGCCAGCAAGTAGGGAGACCAACAAAATGTCAAACAGATATCAAACAGAGTATTGTCTGCAAAGTGTGCTTCAACAAAAACTAGCAAGGAGGTATAGCCTCTTTGACATGAAGAATTCTTTTCTGTAAATCTGTAATACCGGTAGCTGTTTGGAGACAATCGTGTATCTAAGATCAGGCAACAACAAAAGTTCATTAGACCACATTAATGTCATTATTGTAGTGACTGTGTTTATAACAGTGGGTGTCAAAAGTCATGTCAACCGTTCCTCACATGTAAGGCTTCAGCTTGTGAAGTTATGATGATGAAATAAACTGGACACATTGACTGTACATCCTTGTGTGTGTTTTTCACATGAATTGATAAAAAGTTAGAATCTTTAAACAACACATTTAATGTCACTACAATCTCAACAGCTTCCCATACATACTTCACCGCACAAAACAACAATACATAGTCTTATAATTTTGAAAAAAAGCCACCTTACATGTATACAAAACATCTACGTACACGTGCACCCCCGTGCTTGCGATGGTATCTTCCACGTCCACATAATGCACACGGCACGGAAACCGACCTTGCCGGTTTTGCTGACAATTAAATCGCCACATTGTTAAACACACGTTAACATAGCAGAGCATACACATACATGTATACCTGCCGTTTTCAGTCTAAGGCGTCCAAAACTGAACCTACATGAGCTGAGTTTCTGATATCTTCATGTAAATTTCTGGTACCTCCAAGTTCACAGATAGACCAACAACGACGACAGCCATGTGGTTAACCTTTAGCATACTGAGGTGTATACATGTAGTAGCCTTTTCCTTTTGACGACCGGTTTTCTGTAGCTTACGGCGTTCGGCGGCAGGGAAAAGGTTAAAGTCGTGTCACTGCAGCTAAATCGTGAGTAGTTTCTACCATTTCTTCCGTAAATACAACTTTCCCATGGTTAATCCTGGAAATAGAACTCAAGATCTCATTGCTAATTCCCACATTGTCTTCTGTAGACACTAGTCTCTACCAGATTAACTACGCTGGCTATATATAGGAGAATATTTACAAGTTTGGCCGCCTTGGGGTTTGACTGGCTCGGCAGTCAAGTTTAGAGTTAACCCTCTCACAGACTGACTCTCCTGGCCAACTGTTCCCCTTATTTAGCTGAACTCTAGAATCCGTACCCCTGTAGGAAGCCTGGTGGAGGCTACGTAAACACAGTATTGCCATTGTTAATTCTGGAAACTTGAGATCTCAATAATAATTATTCAGAATGTGTTTTTTTTATTGAAGAAACAATACAAAGATAAAAGCACAAAGTGGGACTGCACTCAAGCTGTACACTTATTTTAACAGCCCACTTAATACTAAACTTAAAATGGAAACATATATGTGAAGAAAAACTCCCTCCCATACAATATCATGTAAACAAGGATTCAGAATGAGAATGATTGTTTTTATTTGGTGGGGCGACACCAACATGTTTTAGACGCTTCTCTGTCAGGCGTACGTGACCTACATGTAGATGTGTGTATCCAACATGAAGTAGAATACACGTTGACATGTCATGTGTGATCACTATTATATGCGGTGTGTGACGCCGAAGGGCGGTTATACCGTAACCGACCGTACATATACAGAGTAACAGAAATACGACAACTCTATGCGCATATAATGCGATGGTAAACAGTAGAAAAGAATACTCTGTAAGCAGAGGTTTGGGTTTTGGATTATTTTTGTCGTCTTTTAGGTTTTTCTTTTATGCACTGGTACAAAAATGTATCTTTTCTTTTGGGTTGACGTAAAAAAAGATACCAGTGCAAAAACGAATAATAATGCCAATAATAAGCCAAAACTCGAACCTCTGCTTGGAGAGTAAGAAAAGAACGCATGCAGTATAGAACTGGTTGGAACCGCCTATAGTACTATTAAAGCTTAGTGGGAGCCAAACCTCAGACAGACTACGTCATTTGCCCTTTCCCGCATCAGTTAAGCCGAGCGATTTGCCAGTGATTGATCCCAATTATATCTGCCCTCACACGTACATCCAATTATGCATGTAACGTTACATGTACGTGTACCTGCCCTCACACAGAGTCGCGCCTTCTTTCACCTACAATTTGTACATATTCAACTTCGTCTCTGCCTAAAAACGGTTAAACCAAGCTATCAGGACACATCGGTCCCTGGACAGTTCGGCCCCGACGTTTCGGCCCCAGGTCCTGGACGATTCGAGCCTAGGACGGTTCGGCCCCGTAAAAGTTATAATTATTGAACCTTAAGTCTTAAAACATAGCAAACAAGCTAACACACCACAGTTTTATCTGAAAACCATTTTAATACAAGCGAACCCTCGCTTGCCGAGGAGACCGGGTTTTAATAATTCGTGCACAGATGACTAGATCCCCCTGGTAATATTTTCCATGGTTTACAAAAGAGAAGTCAAACCCTTCAGACATAGTTTTAGACATAGCTGCAGTTTAGACCTTTTACTATGTGGATTTTGAAGTAATTTTGTACTCTAGCTGTTTCTATATATATGTTCATTTATCCTTGTGATTTGCAATTACTAGCAGGAATTTGCAATAAACCTTTCTATTTTAGGTGGCACACCCCACAGACCAGGTGTTACACGCGTGGCCATGGCGGAAACGGAAGTGACGAGCCGTCTCCATGACGACCATGACGCCGTTTCCCGCCAAGCTGTGACGAGCAGAGGACTGACCATCTTCATAATTTCTACAGTGATATTTATGGCGACGTACTTTCTACTCGCGGAGCTCTGGAGGTACGATACAGTTGTAGAATCTTTTGGGCGTTATTTTAGTAGTCACGGAATTTCCGGTGTACTGGAACGGCAACGGAACAGAAATCCGGAATTGGACAGACAGCCTAGCCGGATTCCGGACGAGCAAACAGACTCGCATTCCGGATCCGGAACTGGTCTGCTGCTCATCCGGAATCCGGTCTCGCTGTCCTAGGATTTAAACATTCTTGAATGTAATAGAATAACATCTTGGCTTCATCCGTATGATTAGGGGCTCGTTATACGGAATGCCGCAATTCCCGACGTTGTGGAAAGGCAACGGAACAGAAATCCGGAACTGGACGGACGGCGAGACGGGATTCCGGATGAGCAACAGACCCGCATTCCGGATCCGGAACTGGGAGGGCAACAACACCGAAATCCGGATCCCGCGGCCCATCCTGGATTTCGGGTCCCTGGCGCCGGATCCGGACTGGCAGTTTAATCCTGAGGCCAATGCGAACATCAGGTTAGACAAGTTTCCCCTTTTTTTCTCATTGGCGCTGGTCTCGTAAAATAATTCCGTCGAAGATACCACCTAAAAGGACAGTTACATTTCGGTGAAGGTTAGACATCCAGATAATGAAATACGCCCAAAAAACAGTTCCTGGATAGGGATATGATTTTGGAAACAGTCAGACGTTTCAGGTAGCATCCACTACCTTTCGTCAGTGACACTAAGAGACTGCAGGAGAAAGTCAGGTTTTATAAGTACAAACTATTGATTGATATGCAAATTAGTGAAGACAATTTTAACACAGATTGACAACTTAAACGGTATTGGTGCTACCAAATTTTCCACAATGTCACATTTGTTGCAACCATACTTGACACACTGTCACATTTCTAATGTATCTTTCAGTAAATCCTGCGCTAAGCTGCACCCGTCCGTCCATCTGATGAAGATCAAGATGCCGAGACTTGCTCAGTACGAAACGGCGCTGTGTGACCGAGCAGGAGAGACGCCTGGCGAGTCTGACGCGCACTGCAGGACGGACCACAGCGCCACCATCGGACACTACAGCACATGCGCAGTGGTCGGCAACAGCGGCGTGCTGCTGGGCAGCCACTGTGGGAACGAGATCGACTCACGGGATTACGTCATCAGGATGGACATCCCGGTTGTCAAGGGTTACGAGAGTGACGTCGGCAGACGGACCAGCATGACGATATTTAACCTCAGCACGCCCAAGCGGTTACAGAGCTCGGCAAGTTTATGTTCATGATGTTTACCGAAGGGAAACATGTTGTTTTTGTTCTGTTTCTTCTTCCGTTCCAAACACTGACCTCTGACCTGGCCAATGACCTGATATGTTGATGTCTGTCTCCATGGTAACTGGTGTTGGGTTACATAATGTTGCAATTTTTACTAGGAGGGATTCATACTCCTGGCAGATCATATATAACATATGAATGTATTTGAGTAAGAATTAACAGAGCAGACCATATGCGAAGGTAAACATTATGCATTTGCTTTGCAAGTGTTACCTTTCTAGTTATTATTATATGATTATTACATAGAAAACACAATTTGATACCAATGACGAATGAATGCGAAACCTGTCACGACTTTTGATTGCAGGCTCGGCTGAAAAACAGAACCCAGGACGTGTATGAGAGTAGACTGAGGAACCTCAGAGGCACCGCGCTGGTCACGGACAAAAAGTCAAGGCGGAAAATCATCAGCGTGGCGAGAAAATACCGCGTCACTTTCTCCTTATACACCATCAAGGGCAGCTTAAGGCGGGGGATCAACCCGTAAGTATTGATTTCTGAACATGCTGATCAATAAGAAAATGTGCCCATTAACGTTTTGAAATGTCCAATTCTTCAGTATAAGCTTAAATAATTGTTATCATGCTGCAAGTCATACCGGTTGCAACTCTATACATGTATAATGGAATTGCACAATACCAGTAGTATAAGGTAATGATTGAATGGTTTCATTGCACAACAAATGTGACTATACAGATAACATAAGATAAAAAAAACAAAACAAATAAGGTCAATGACCTGGACCAGACAGCTGTCATCGTGGTAACTGGCACGGCGCTGTGATCAGATATCCTGTGGTGTTGGGTTACATAATGTAGCAAGTTGGAGGGGCTGGTCACCATCATATAATGTGTTTGAGTAAAAGCAGAGCAGTCATTTTTTAGGTTACCGAAGGTGGCCGTGCAAACTTCTATTCTATGGCTAATGGATACTGTCTTGCCACCGAAAGGAATCTGCTTGGAGATTAGGATAGACCACGTAAAGTTAATGTTGTTCTTGTTTTTCCCTCCAGCCTCGCGACCAGGCTAGCGCACAAGCAGATGGGCGGGAGCGCGACGACCGGCATAGTCACTGTCCTGATGGCGACGACGTTCTGTGACGTTCCTCACCTGTACGGCTTCTTCCCTTTCCAACGTGACGCCCGGAACACGCCCATCCCCTATCACTACTACCCGGGAGACTACATAAAACCTATAAATCAGAATGAGGGCGGGCACCATCACATGAGGAGGGAGTATGACTTTTTAAGAGATTTACATAAACAGGGCGTGCTGAAGATGCAAGTCGGACCTTGTGGGCAGAGTTAAACACTACTTTGGGAACCTAATTCAGCCCGTTACAGCTGCCAGGAGGCTTTTATGTAACATCTAAAGCATGTAACGTCCTAATAAACCAGTCTACTGCTACTAATATAAGTGTTTGCCAAAAAGCAGTTACTCAAGCAACTTTAACTGAATATGCTTCTACCCTGAAGCCCGCAGATGATTGATTGATTGAATTACTTTACAGCTAAATCTAATGTGATACACACAAATGAAATGTCTTTACAACTTGACCGCGAATCAAACCGATCAGACAAAACGAGGGCGGGCATCACCACATGAAAAGGGAATACGACTTTCTGAGAGATTTACATAAACAAGGCGTGCTGAAGATGCAAGTTGGCCCTTGTGGACAGAGTTAAGCACTACTTTGGGAACCTAATATAAGTGTTTGCCAAAAAGCAGTTACTCAAGCAACTGGATATGATTTTGGAAACGGTCAGACGTTTCAGGCAGCATCCACCTACGTTTGGTCATGTGCATGTACACAATGCCGGCCAGACAAGCTATTTGGAATATTTGTATCGCATGAGCATACTTTTTGACAGTTCTTCTACTCGTAATTTTTAACTGTTGTGACGTAGCTAGCAGTAAGTGCAATTATTGTGTTCTGTGTATTCTGCCTAATGTTTCAGTATTTTAACTTCATTATGTGCAATAGTGAAATGAAATGTACATTGTACATTGATTCAGTAACTTGTACTTAAAGTTTACTGCGAATAATCAACAAGAAGCCATAGGCGACAATTCTCCGTGAAGTATTATATATTGCAACAAAAAGAAGTAGCCATTGGCGACAATTCTCTGTGAAGTGTGATAAATCGAACAAAGAAAAATTGTTTAAACGCGCGTCGGCTCAGTCATCTTAAGACGCAACAACCAATCAGAGATGCGAGATGCCTACACGTGACGCGGGAAGGGCGCGCGATGCCCGAAATATTTTTGCGTCAATATTCAGCGCCGTGATTCAAGAGATTAATACCCGGAAACAATTTTTTCTTGTTTTGAACGCATTAACATGCATTTACGCTAATCTAGTATGATTCAGGGTTACTTTTTTTTTTTAACCTGCCATGGCCAGATTATCTAAAGATGTGTGTATTGTGTGTACAATCTATAGAAAGAGAAATGTACATCAGGTCCGATCATCCGATTTTCACGTTTCGGTTTTTGGACTCGGTTCATGAACGTATTTTGGTTTGGCTCCTGGAATGTGCAAAAATGACTCCCGGGACTGTCTACAGGGAACACTCGCACATTCGCGGTGTATCAGGACAGCGCGACTGGTCGTCATTAGCGCAGTAACAGTTGCATAAACGGACGAAACCATTTCAAAGAAATGGGGATGTTTCGAAAATAAGCATTTACTCCAATATCAAAACAGCTACGGTAAAAATAAAAAGACGTGCATCATCCCGGACATAATGCAACACCACATGCGAAATTACACAGAAATGCGACGTACGGAAGAATGCGTTTTGGCTGCGAACATCTTCCAAAAAACTTGGCATCTCTTAACCATGGGCAAAAACATCTGGAACCACTTATAAAAACCACCCCGTATCTGCATGAACTTTTTTGAACCCCACTGCTATTCCAAACAACGCGTTTTTCTGGACCATTCCAATTCGCCTCGTAATTGTAGGGGTGCGTCTGCGATATTACATTGACCGCGAAAGCAGCAACGGCAAAAATACACATTCGTGCATCAACACGGGCATGCCCGCAGACGGCGTATAAAATTGCGTGCCGATTACACAAAGAGAACCCAGTGTTTTGACTGCGAACATGAAAAATCAGCCGATTACAACACTCCGTCCGGAGGTCCTGACCTCCTTCACGGAGTAATAAATAATTCTTGAGTCTTGAGTGGCCAATTGGATACTGTCTTTTGCCACTCTAGGATCTGCTTGGAGATGACCAGACAGTTACTCAGGCGTGCATGATTGTTCTGTAAATGCGCAGCGGAATCAACAAACCGGCTAATAGAATCAGACAGTTACTGACCCGTGCCTGGTGTTGGCCCGAGGGCACTTGTGTATACGGGTGCGTCCTAGAACCGTGTTGAGCGGTATGACCTAGTCTCCACCAGACTTATTTGCAGGCTGAAGAAATAGTAGAAATCGGCCTAAAAAGGGGATATAATTAGCCAGAGAAGGTACTAGCCGCCAAAAAAAGCTCCATCTTCCTGCACGTACCTTCTCTGGCCGATGAGATCCACTTTTAAGGCCGATTTCTACTATTTATTCAGCCTGCAAAGGAGTCTGTTGGAGACTAGGTATGATCACGCTGATTTAATTCTATGGATGACATCTGCGCGCGGATTGATTTTAGCCTGATCTTAAAGAAAGAAAAAAAAAGATAAAAATAAAAATTACCCGAGTCTCCGAGGCCCTGCTTGGCCTGGGTTCGGGCTCCGAGCCGTTGCCGTTGGTAACTACGGAGGACGGCACCCAGGCTACCGATGGTCTACGGAACTCAAGAACTCAGAAAAGTACCGACTCATGAATGCCGCAAGAGGCCAGCATGTGCCGGTTTGTCGTAAAAGTCTAATGCGACAAAAGGTCGTCCCAAGGGTGACATCTGCTTAAAGGGTGTCAAGCTGTGACATAAATTAACATTTACTGCACAGTTCAAATAAATGGTTCTGAAATCCACCAAATATTGCATACTCGCAATGACACACTTATATGTAACACGTGTCAAGGTCCATGTAACCTAAAGCTTACAACAAACCGTGCCAGTACTTTACCATTTCTTTAAAGAGTGGTTTTAGCCTAACCAAGGACGCCCATAGCCTAACCGACAGGTTTAAGAGAAGCCTTACTTTTGTAAGATTACACATAATGACATAATAGGTACCACCTAAACAGCTAACAAGTACCGTACACGTCAAGTGTTTCACCAGTTCTGCAATGCGTGTCTTTCAGCCTAACAAAGCTCCTAACTAGCATATTAAACCGACATGTTTGAAGAGGGTTTATCTTAAAGTTTGTAAGATTATATATGATGACATAATAGGTGCCACCTAAATAGCTAACAAGTACCGTAATAGTGCTTCACCATTTCTGTAACGTGTGTCTCAGCCTCACCAAGGACGCTCATAGCCTAACCGACATGTTTAAGCCTTACTTTTGTACGATTACAGATAATAACATAATAGGTGAGCGCTGCGGAACCGGTTTTCACACGTCATGTTCTAAACACGGCCGCGGCCATTTTGTTTGCCGGTGTGATATCACCCATATCAGCCTGGGGATATACGGAATATGCCGAATATGACACATGATAAGATAAGATAGCATATTGTTAAGTTCAAGTTCAAGTAAGGACGGCGTCTCTCCCGTCGGCGACAGGTCAAAGTTGAACACCTGACGTGTGCAGCCGTCCAGGTAAGTAACGTTACACGTACCTGAATAACTCATGTTGACATGTATACATGTATATACATGGCCATGACAGTTTTCATTAATGAGTAAAAGACATTTGCTGTACATGTTTGACAACACCACTTGCAAAGCAACAAACTATAGAAAGAATCGCTCTAATTGAACTGCACAATACGCTACATATATTGTAAAAGGGTGCGCTGTGCAAGATATTAGTTCTCAGGGATACTTCCGGGTCTGAACAAAGACGTGAAGTCTCTGGGCCGTGACCGAATCTTTATGTTTACATTCGCAGAAGGAAAACATATTGTTTTTGCTCTGTTTCTTCTTCTTCTTCAAACAAATAAGGTTAATGACCTGGACCAGACGTCTGTCACCATGGTAACTAGTGTTCGGTTACATCATGTTGCAATATAGAGCAGGAGGGATTTAGTATGCTGTCACCAGATGAATGAGTTAGAGTAAGAATTAACAGAGCAGACCATATGCGAAGGTAAACATTATGCATTTGTTTTGCAAATGTTACCTTTCCAGTTATTACTGATTCCTTGTCATTTAAGATAGAATTTTCTCCCCCAGGTGCTGCCATGGCAACGAGTGGAGAAACGGAAGTGGTCAGCTGGCGTCAGGACGATAAGGACCCGGATGTGTCCCGGACAGCGGGCAGGCGGCCGTCTCCGTTTTTTGTCTGTGCAGCGGCCGTTACTGCAGTCTGCTTCTCTCTCACGATGTTTTGGGGGTGAGTATGTGAATGAAAAAAGTAGCAATTGCTATATTTACACACGCGCGCGCACGAACTCACACACACACACACACACACACACACACACACACACACACACACACACACACACACACACACACACACACACACACACACACACACACCCATATATACAAACACACACACACTCACACACTCACGCAAACACGCACACACACACACACACACACACACACACACACACACACACACACACACACACACACACACACATACAAACAAACGCACACACATACACGTGAAACTAAGAAAGCGAGCAATATTGCCATTCTACATTTTCAGAGCCACGTTGGAAGGCATCCCACAGTTTCTACCATATGTGCTGCGGAACAAAACTGATTTCCAATATGGCACGATCCGTTCCGTTGCGAGGCGTTTCAGACCTGCCCTAGACTTTGGGGACTTGGCACCAGATGCCAATTGGGAATACAGACCTGAAGCCTTAACAAAAGTTAGGTGGGTACCTGGAATCCATTCAGGATGGTTCGTTTAGTCCCCAATTAGTTCACAGTAAGAAAGTAGGCAAACACTGGAATTATAGTAAATTGCATGGCAGTGCTGATTACCATTATGGTGCCCTTGAGTAAAGAAGCTGGCATACAACCATAATTATAACATAAGGCAAACTTTGATCACTATTTCGGCTAAACATTGACTACCTACTACCTTTATTGGGGAGTCAAGGGCTATATGATAATGTGATTATATTGTGCACCGTTAAGTCTTGTACCTGCACAATGATTGTTTTTGTTTGCATCCGGACACCCATACATTCATGTATCGCGAAGTCTTGTGCTTGTGCCATGGGTTTGAAGGAGGTTTATAACATATTATATAAAACTTTTTATACACTTTACAGAAATTCTACAATGAGGCTGCATCCGGACACTCACACAAAGAAGTGGCGGTTATCCGGAAAAAGTCCGGCAAAACGGATTACAGACAAATTCGGCCACTACCGCACATGCGCAGTGGTGGCCAATAGCGGCATCCTGCTGGGCAGCCACTGTGGGAACGAGATCGACTCACGGGATTACGTCATCAGGATGGACTTGCCCTTGATCAGAGGGTTCGAAGATGATGTCGGCAGGAGGACCAACATGACCATGCTCAACTCCAGCACGCCGAAACGCGTCAAGGCGTCTTCGCATCTGAAGGTTTTGTCCATTTTGTACAAAGCATATTGAAGATGAATTTCACATTGTTATGGGATAGCCAAAAAGCCCTATTTTACATAATTTTAGAGTGGTGTATGTCAAAAGCGTGAATGACATTCTTTGGACATGTGTCCAAGGTATCCCCATACCGAATTTCAGGTCATTCGGATTTAATATTAAGGCGCAGGATTTAAAAATGTACATTTTTGGTCCGAAAATAGCCAAAAAGCCCTATTTTTCACAATTTTAAATGGGTGTATGTCGAAAGCTTGACTGAGGTTTTGTAGACGTATTTCCAAGGTATCCCCATACCAAATTTGAATAATTTTAGCTGTACACTTGTTTGTTATATTTGTACTTTGCCATACATTGTACCATGTGCATTTGTGGTGCAATAAAGTCCTTCTTCTTTTTCCTGAAGAACAGAACTCAGGACGTGTATGAGCGGCGTATGAGGGACATAGAAGGCACCGTGTTGTCGGTGGGGACGGGCTCCAGGAAAAGGATGGTCGAAGCGGCGCAACTCTACAGACTTTCCTTTTTACTGCTTTCTACCAGGGGAAACCAAAGGACTGGAATTAAGAAGTAAGCGGTTTTGACTTTCTTTTATAATTCCAACATGTAATCACAAGACGTGGTGACGGCACACTCAAGTTTTATCAAGTTATATTGATGCCGCCATCAACACAGGGGACAAATACAATACTCATTTTCACCTGAGCGAAGTAAGGCTTTGACTTTGTTTTCATACATTTAGAAAGTCTGGTAAAGGTCATTGACCTTACTTGTTTGGAACGTAAGAAGAAATGGAGCAAAAACACAATTTTCAAACCCTGATTTTTATTTTAACCTTCGCAGAAGATTGCTATGTTTCTTCCTCCAAACAAATGTAGTCAATGACCTGGACTTGACGTCTGTCACCATGGTAACTGGTGCTGTAGCATACACCCTGTGGTGTTGGGTTACATTTTGTAGCAGGACAGAGTTGGAGAGGCAGTTCACCACATATTATATATGCATGTGTACGAGTAATCTTATTTGGTTTTTCATCCACCATCCTTTGAAGTGTGACGTCAACACTGGGTCAGAGGTATCTGGTAGACGATGTCGGCCCCCGTCGCGGTTGAGTGATTTCTTTGATTTTTGATCCCGTAGGCTTGCGTCTGAACACCACAGGATGTCTGCTACAGCACCCGTTACCATGGTGACAGACGTCTGGTATAGTTCATTGACCTTATTTATTTGGAACGGAAGAAGAAATAGGACAAAATTAATGTTTTCCTTCTGAGAAACACAATATGTTTTAGGACCATAATTTAATTTTTATTTGCATTTTCATCCCGCAGACTTGCGTCCGAGTTGGGAAAGCAGAGATTTGGCGGTTCGGTAATTCCCACGCTGGGCATGATGACGGTTCTGATGACGACGACGTTCTGTGACGTTCCTCACCTGTACGGCTTCTTCCCTTTCCAACGTGACGCCCGGAACACGCCCATCCCCTACCACTACTACCCAGGAGACTACATCAAACCTATTATTCAAAATAATGCAGGACATCATCACATGGCGCGGGAGTATGACTTCTTCAGGGGGCTGCATAAGGAAGGGGTGCTGAAGATGCATGTTGGTCCTTGTACAAGGGAATCGCCATAGTACACTAGTTTTATCCAGAACCGTACTCATCCAGAACGCGTATACAGAACCGTGCCTGGGACAAATCTACGTTCTTGGAGACGCGTAGACTATCCAGAACCGTGCTTGATCCTAACCCATTCAGCTGTAGAACTAGACGGACACCGTGCTGTGGATACGATAACTACATGTACCACACATGTGCCACCCATGTACCATCCCCTACCACTACTAAGATGCACGTCGTACCTTGTACTGAAAACTGTGAATGTGCCATTGTATTGTATGTCAGCCGGTGTGTATTGTATTGTAATTAATGTAAATGTTTATATGCTTTTAATCTACGTATCTGAAATTTGACACAATTCAGTTGTGTCTGAAAAAATTCGGCACGTCTGCAAAGTTGATTTTAAATAAAGATTATCGGATTCAGTAGATATCAAGACAATACCTGCGATGATTTCATGGTCTCTTTATTTCAATCAATTTACATGAGCAAGTATCTGCGGAGAATGAGACAGTCACAGAGATGTCTACACGTACTCTATCCTCTATCTATCTAACCTCGCACTAACCACAACAACATCTATCTACCCATGTACACCCGCCAACCGGCGGGATCGTATTGCACGTTTGCATGCTCACATCTCACAATCCTGTACAGATACTGTGGAACCTCCATTCTTGGGATATCGTTATAGCGAATAGAACCTTTTCTGTTTAAAGTTAAAACGTTAGATCCAACACAAAAATTCTCTCATCTAGAGCTTTCGACCAGTCACTCTGGTCTTCCTCAGTAGACTGACCCAGTGAGGCTTGTCACGTGGCTTCTTTGAAGTGTGACGTCAACACTGGGTCAAAGGTATCTGGTAGACTATGTCGTCCCCGGTCGAGGCCTCACTGGGTCAGTCAACTGAGGAAGACCAGAGGTACTGGTCGAAAGCTCTAGGTGAGAGAACTTTTTGTGTTGGATTTAAAGGTTTAACTCTAAACATGTAACTACCAACACAGATGAACTTTCAAGGTAGTATTAGAACCTTTCCTTTTTAAATCAGATAAGAAAGTGCAGTGTTGGTTAGAGTGTCTAATATTCAAGGTAGCCACAAAAGTGGGCTGCACCTTCAAAATCTGTGCTACAAAGTCCTCTTTTAAAGCCCGGATACCACTGAAAAGTACAGCCGTAAGAGACCAGTGGCTACGGATTTAATATCTGTACTTTTCATGGTGGCAGATATGTTTTTCATTGCAGCCATGAAAGAAAACTGAACTGTGCATTTTGATCGTGCTTAGGAGAAATCCCCTGTGATACAGCAAAAAAACACGGTAGTTTTTTTTTAAACTTTTGACCATACTAGAGTGTAGTGAAGAAGTTGAGGGTCAGAAGTATAAATTTGCAACGTGGTAGAGTCTTTGTTTTTACCTAAAGTGAATTCTCTAGTACATCAAATTCTACGGCCACGCCTGTACACTTACTCCTGGTGAATTGTCAGACCCGTCTGTTGGCTGGTGGAAAAAGGCTGCTTGCAGTTTTGCCGTATTTCGCAAGGGGGCGATACTACTACACGCAGAAATGGCCGGGCTGCTTTTTTTCAACCCCGCAAAATCGGACAGGACTGCTTTTTCCACCAACCCCTGGTCTGTTTTACAAGCACAGTAGCGCGCGTCAGTGTGCAACACGGAAGAACGAGTAGCTACCCTGTAAGAATCCTTACATGCACTTTTATCAGGCTGTGAATTTCAGCCATCAGATATCAACAGTAAGTTGTCACACTTGTCTTAAACGAAGACATTCAAATTTACACTCTAATTACTTAATCACATTAAATGGAAAGACTTTGTTTTCACAAATTGTTCACGGGAGACAGGTATGGGATGTAAAAAAGTATAAAAATTTCCACATACACACACAGGAACACTGAGACGTCGTAAGTATTCTATGACTTTGCATCAACTTCAAGATATCTGGAGGATATCTCATATATCATGATGCATAAAGAACAACATTGTTTCACTTCTCAGGTTGCTACCGAGTTTAAACATTAACATTTTGTACATGTACAAAAGAAATTCACGTTAAAGTGATGTACATATCAACAAGTTCTAACCTAAGTTTGACATCAGACAATACCAGAATTACTTAAGTACATTTTTTCTGGACAACAACATTTGCAATCAACACACACAGAATTCCTTCTCAGTCCTTTCAATAAAAAGGCAATACGTACAACAATCTGCCTTAACATGGTTCATTTGCAATATTGTCTTTGGTACACACATAATATACAGAACGAAAATCAATGTTAAATATATGTACACCTTAAGTTAAGGACACTGAAAACATTTTTGTACCACTCTGCCTTGGCACCTGTGATCTGGAAGGCTGCGAAGACCGTGGAAGCACACTTGACTTGACGTGGACAAATATTCAAGCATGCCGCTTCTGGCAGCACTTCAGAATTCACTCTTAGGAAGGAAAGAAAGCATCACTAGCCAGCACATGTAGGAACAGTGCTGTATGGTGCTGCAATGGTAGGTAATACATGTAGGACATGTCGGCAGAACGTACTGCACCTTCGCAAAACTACGGTTTCTGGTGGATGTTTGGTCAACATTGCATCAGAAGTTTGTCCATTGTATAAGATTGCACAAGGACATTCTATCCCTTGGATTGCACAACATTTGGAAAGTACAGATAGGATATTACCCTTAATTAAATATGCAAAGAAGACCTTATACGATACGTTCTGTAGAGGTGCTCTGCACAATACGTTTCGCATTTTGCGCAGGCACAGTACGTTCAGCCAACACGCTGGGCTACAGCCAGCACATAGATACAGTACCCCGGGCTGTACATCATAACATACAGTACCATCATTAAGTACATATGCAGTACTTATGCCATATGGTTGCACAAATCACGCAGAACACGAGCTTAGAATTACAGAACCGCCTCAGGGAAGCTGAAGCAGGTTTTTTTCCACATCTTTTGTCGACACGTCGATACCCTTTCATCAGGCCAGTCATGGAGTCTCTCTCTCAAGATTTCTGCGATGTACAAATGTACTGTCATCACCACAGATTGTTGTAGAGACATGGTTGTATTCTAACACTGTACAGTTATCGATCTGACCACATCCATGGACGCATGTCACACAGTTAACACACCACAAGCAGACAGATGGTAGAACGGCCGGTAAAACAGCAAAGTCAGCTTCTCGTGATCCTCTGTAGACCGTCTTATTGCACACATCAAAATGTCCCAACTTGGGCATGTCAAGGATCGTTGACTGAGTCTTGCATGAACATCCTGAGGATGACACATCGATATTCGTTCTGATGCTGTCAGCCTGTAAGGACTCAGCCTTGTCGTTTTGATGCTGTCAGTCAGTCTGAGCTCAGAGTAGCACGTCGGCAGAACGTACTGCGCCTGCGCGAAACCCGGATTTCTCACGATTTTCGTTGGATGTTCGGTCACGGTTGCATCAGAATTTTGCCTGTTGCACACGACATCTTTTATGACATAACATTTGGAAACTACAGATGGGATGTTAACCTTCTATGCATGACTAGGACCTTTTATGAGATGTTCTACTGAAGTGCTATGCACAACTATACATCGGATTTGGTTTATCTTTGAATGCCCACGATAATGATGATAATGATCATTCTGGCACTCATTAACACCTGTGCCAAGTGAGGAAAGTCGTGTAAAGTGCCTTTCCCAACGGCACAAGGTTGGTGACATGGCAGGATTTGAACCCAGGACCTCTTGGTTATGAGCCAAATGCTCTGCCATTATGCCACACCATCCCAGGACAAAGTAACTGTCACACATTCGCGAACTTCCCACAAATTAGTTCCAGAACAATGTAGGCAAAGATAGCCTCTGCAACAGACAAAATTATGATACAACGGTGACCTAAAATTAACGAAAACCATGAAAAATCAGATTCTGTGCAGGCACAGTCCGTTCTGCCGCCGTGCCGTGTTGCCTCATCGCTCGGCTGCCCTGCCCCTATCCGGGCTGACTCTCGGCAGCGGCTGCAGCATCAGTTTGTACCAGGCCTTCACGCCGTGCTGAAGGTTCACGTTGTCCAGCCAGATCAGGGTTTCTCCTATCAGCGTGTTCCGACCAAACTTCCCACCATCTTCCAGCAGATTCACCTGTGGTGCGTACAAAATTTACGCCATAATTAACATCACAGTTGACATAATTACCTTTGCCAAGAAGGTTGTGTTTTCAGTAGTGTTTGACAATGTCCATTTGTCTGTCTGTCTGTGAACAGCATAACTCAAGAAGATGAACATTCATTGTTATGAAACTTGGTCTTGACGAGACCCTTGATGAGACCTAGAAATAATTAGATGTTGCGTCCCCTGGCCATTTCAGTTGGTACTGCAGCAAAATGTCCAGCAGATTGACCTGTGAGAGATACAGAAGTGTAAGTCAGCATGAGTTTGTACCAAGCCTTCACCCCGTGCTGAAGGTTCACATTGTCCAGCCAGATCAGGGTTCCTCCTATCAGCGTGTTCCGTCCAAACTTCCCACCATCCTCCAGCAGATTCACCTGTGGGGAATACGTCATTATTTAGCATCACACAAGTTGATATACTCCTAACCAGAAAGGTAACATTTGCAAAACAAATGCATCATGTTTACCTTCGCATATGGTCTGCTCTGTTAAATTCTTACTCAAATACATTCATATATGGTGACAGGAGTCTAAATCCCTCCTGCTATAAAATTGCAACATGATGTAACCCAACACTAGTTACCATGGTGACAGACGTCTGGTTTAGGTCATTGACCTCATTTGTTTGGAGGAGAAGAGGAAGAAGAAACAGAGCAAAAACAACATGTTTTCCTTCTGCATCCACTTCTACCACAGACTGAAAAGCTTCTGATTTGTTACCTGTAGAATTGACTTCCCGAACTCCAAGTCAAACTTGAGCATCTCGTTAAACTCCGGCTCCCGGTCAGACTTGCAGGTCCTGGTCTTCTTCTTAGCCACCTTCCTGTTTCCCACCACCAGATAGCACTTCACATACAGGTCTGTAATTTAGAGCAAGTCAGATTATTAAGTGTTGATAAATGGCAACGGAAAAGATGGCAGGACAATATCAGAGAACAGACATGACATCTTAGGAACTAAAAACTTTTTTTAAGGTAACGTTTGCAAAGCAAATGCATAATCATTATGTTTAGCTTCACATATGGTCTTCTCTGTTAAGTTTTACTCAAACACATTCATATCTATGGTCAGACAGGAGTCTAAATCGCCCCTACTACAAGATTGCAACATTATGTAACTCAACACTATGTTACCATGGTGACAGATGTCAACAAATAAGGTCATTGGCAAGGTCAGAGGTCAATGTTTGGAGGAGAAGAAGAGAAAAAGGAAACTGAGTAAAAACAATATGTTTTCCTTCAGTAAACATAATAAAACTGTTACCCACCAGGAAGGTAGACTAAGGGAGAGGTGTAGATGTAGGTAAGAGATAAAAATGTTACCCACTGGTATACCAGGCAGGCACACTAAGGATTCTGAGTAAGGAATAGGTGAAAGATGAAACTGTTACTAGTGTTAGGGACAGATGTAGATGAGAGATAAGAACCAGTACCCACCAGGCAGGTAGTCGTCGGACTTGAACCTGTAGGTGATGTTCTGCACGTTGGACGATGTGAACCATCAGCATCTCCCCCTGTTCATGGATCTCTGTTCTCAAGTTCAGCCTCACCTCAGCCGTCACCTCAGGGTTACCTGTCAATAATCAATCATTAACCAATCAATCAATCAATCAATCAATCAATCAATCAACAACCAACCAACCAACCAACCAACCAACCAACCCACCAACCAACCAACCCACCAACCAATCTTCTTGCTCAAACACATTCATATCTATGGTGACCAGTCCCTTCCGCTTGTCCTGCCACTTGCTACATAATCGATTCCAACACGACATATGGTGACCAGCCCCTGGACATCATCCTGTTTCCTTCATACAAACCCTAACCTTACTGTAACCTATGCTTTAATAATGAGCCATTAAGCTGATTTCTCACCCATGGATCCGGGGTCCATGAGCTGGCCAGGCCCGAGTTCCCCCACGGCCATCTGTGAGTACATGGTGTGTTTGGGGCTGGACATCATCCTGTTCCCTTCACTGTCCACCTGCTGCTCTATGGTGTCCCAGGTCTGGTACTGGGGGCTGCAGGAACAACATAGCAAACCCTTACTGTTACTGTTACAGTACATACAATCCCTGACCCTAACTCCTACTGTCAACCTGCTGCTCTATGGTGTCCCTATGGCACCCAGGCTAGGCAAAGTTGTGGATTGCGTACCTTTTCCTGCCCTCCTGTTCTGTTGGCCTGGGAGAAGGCATCCTTTCTAGCCTGGTGGTGCTGTTAAACATCTCATCAACTGTGAACATAGCAGGCACATAATTTAGTTTGTTTTTACATAAACATCCTAAGCAAGTCATCAACAGAAGCCAAGTGAAAAAGAAGAAGAAGTGAAGCTACACACTACACACTTTTAGCATCAGCTACTTTTATGGACAGCTCAAGGCTCTTAAATGTGTACAATGTCATATGATTTGGTTTTGCTTTGATACAACATGGCTTGCAATTTCCAATGAAACTGATAGGGGGAGTTGCATGCACAGCTTGTATCAGCTCCTTTTTTCATGCTTCCCTAAAAGCTGCTTCATCCATAAATTGGCATAAATCAACTGACCTCTACAGTTACTGTTACAGTAACAATACAAGTATCAAACATAGTGGGACATAGAGACCAAGCTCTCTGCTGTACCTTCCTCAGTAGTTGGTGAAACCTCCCGTCTCTGGTTGTTGACATGGTGCCGCTGCAGGTCCTCGTGGTGGGGATGTCTGCCCATGCCACTCAGGTTCTGTCTGCACAAACAGTAAAACACAGTCAGTGTAAGCATTGTAAACATGAGAGCAATAAATGTCTACCCATGCCACTCAGGTTCTGTCTGCAGGAACAGTGATACAGTATACAGAGTCAGCGATACACAGGCATTGTCAGTGTTCAGTAAAAACACCAGTGTCAGTGTAAGTACTGTTAGTAACTGTGTAAACACTATGACTGCAAGTCCTCGTGGTGGGGATGTCTGCCCATCCCGCTCAGGTTCTGTCTGTAGAGTGATACATACATGTAGTCAGTGTTCTGTGGGATTCAGCACCAAGGACAGGCCCAGTGTTTCCTGGTTACAGCTGTTAGATGTAGACAGCAGTATACTAGGAAGATCATGACCTTACCTTCCCGGCCAGCCCAAGACAGTGTGCCCTGCTGACCCTTTGCCATGCCCAGTGCTGTACCCTGTAGTTGTTACTGTAAGGAACAGCAGTGTAAGGACGGCTTATCTTCCCACACAGCTGGATGGAGGCAGCCCCCACCTATACCTGTGCTGTACCCTCTCCCAGCTCTGTAAGATAGCAGCATAAAAACTGCGTGACCTTACCTTCCCGGCCAGCCAGAGGGCGGTGCTGTCCCCCCGCTGTACCCTGTGCTGCTGCTCTCCCCGCTCTGTAAGCTGCTCAGGCTCCCGTTGTGTAAGGAACAGCAGTGTAAGAACAGCAGTGTAAGGGACAGCATGACCTTACCTTCCTGGCCAGCCAGAGGGCGGTGCTGTCCCCCCGCTGTACCCTGTGCTGCTGCTCTCCCCGCTCTGTAAGCTGCTCAGGCTCCCGTTGGACGAGGCGCTCGACCCCAGCGAGTCCAGCTTCTTTCTGGCCACCTGCTTGCGTAGGTCGTCTCTGTCATGCTTCCCTTGGAAAACAAAAGGACCTTCTGGTAAGGGACAGCTGTATATGTAGCTGGTATTATGTTATACTGGCCATACAGAATAACCATGCAGAGAACAACAGGACCTTAATTCTGGTACGGGACAGCTGTACATGTGCTGTTCAGGTAAGGGATACATGTGCGGTTGGGGTAAGGCCTTTTTGTTATCTGTGTTGTTACATTTTGAAGCTATATAAGTTGTCAAGACAGGACTGACTAAAGAAAATGAAGGAAAGTTCATGTATTTACAAATGTATGCACATGTGAGGAAAACAATGTACAAATGAATCAATGTGTGTGTGTGTTACTCTCCAAGCAGAGGTTCGGGTTTTGGGGGTATTTTTAGCGTGTTTTTAGACTTTCTCTTTTGCACTGAATTTTTTTCCCACCAAACCCAACCTCTGCCGGCACTCACCTCGGGGAGGGGCAAACCTATTCAAAACAGGCGACAGTGCCCCTCCCCGGGAACCATCAAACTGTCATTAGGGATATCCATTTTATTGTGGTGGATTATCACACTTCTAGGCAGTCAGAAAGGCATTCATTGGGCCACACGCCTCCCGCTGACTGTGCCTATTCATGCGTTTGGTTCACACCTCCTTGCAGAACGACTGAAATGTGTTGAAGTGATTAGGTTTATAGCCCATTGAAGTTTTCGACTGCCTGCAGAGGTTGGGTTTGGTGGAAAAAAAAATTCAGTGCAAAAGAGAAATCCCGATAAAAAAAGCCTAAAAACACGCTAAAAATACCCCCAAAACCCGAACCTCTGCTTGGACAGTATGTGTGTGTGTGTGTGTACAGCAGGGTATTGTATTAACCAGGGACCTTTCTGTTATGTAATGCACAAATTAAAGCTTCTTTTTCTCAACGACAGAGCTCATAATCACCCAGGTACTGCAGCCCTGTGTTTGTTTGTTTGTTATTTTGTAAACATACCGTGAAAACTGGGGACCTTTCTGTCCCGTTCGGTGGCTGAGCGCGGTGTGGCGGGTTCACTGTGGGACGATTCGTCCTCACCTAAAAGGTTCTGCAAGAAAAAAACAACAAATAAACAAATAAATAAACAAATAAACAACTATCTGGGTCACAACATGTCATACATGTACATTCAGCTGTTCAAGAGAACCAATGATAAAGTTCATAATCTACATGGATGCTACCTGAAACGTCTGACCGTTCCCAAAATCATATCTAGTTGCTTGAGTAACTGTTTTTTGGTGTATCTTATTACCTGGATGCCTAACTTTCACCGATGTATTCATAATCTACAGTTCAGTAAATAACAATCATTCACTGCTAGATAAGTTGACAAGAGTATGATTTTCGTCTGTTTTCTGTATTTTTCTGTATCTTTGTAATTTTTCAGCTCAATTCTCCATATTTTTCCATGATGGTTACACTACCTGGTCTGTGTCACTCCTGCATTGGTTGAAACATTTCTTTATGAATTTGTTTTGGTCCAAAGAAAAGGTCTAACCTAATAACTTTTATCTCTGCTATGAGAAGCCTTGTCCTTTCCAATATCTTGGTTCCTGATATGCTGTAAATATTTTATAGCTCGTCTTGTCTGCTGAATCATACCATGTTGTAGAGGATTACATTCCTTTTATGAGCAATTATGCAGACTGCCAGCATGTCTGTTTTATGACTCTTCACAATTGGATGGCGATGATTTTATGCATTTTACGATGACACCTTTAGGCATAGCTTTTTCCTATCACTCAGCATCAATAAGACGCTTCCAGTCTAATACATACAAAGTCGTGTAGATGTACATTAAGTGTTTTGTGAAATTGAAATTGATTTTAGAGGTTCTAACAGATCATACTACTGTGTCAATTTATTGTAAAAGTTTAATTCTGCAACAGACAATAAACTGAAATCAATATCATGGTAAAATCAGCAAGATATTTTGTTATGCTCTACTGGCTATCTTGTTATCATGATGCTTTCTTTTAATGATTAAAGCCTATTAATACAAACATTCTTGCTCAAGCATGATGAACAATAAGATCTGAGATTAATTTTTAATCATCGACTACTGGTTGAAAATCCTGCTACTGGTAATTCTGAATCATATTTTGAAATAAGTAGATATGAAACAGCTGGAGCACAACTGCTACATAATAGTTGCAATACTCACTCACTGTAGCAATATCACCATATGATAGTTTTTATTTCTTTTTTCCCATGGAGCCAGTAAAGTTTTGGCAGTGGAAACCAGATTAATTGTATTGGCTAATAAATGTTGCACAACTGCTACATCAGTGTTACAATACTCACTCACTGTAGCAATACTTGCTAACTGTAGCAATATCACCATTTATTTCCTTTTTCCCATGTTTTGGCAGTGGAAACCAGTGAGAGTAATTGTATTGTCTTTACCTTATAAATGTTGCACAGTTGCATGCAGCACACACTGTTTATTCCTGGCTGATTTTCGGGTGAGCAGTTCTGAACGTTCTGGAGAATTCACAGGAGATCATTAAAAATGCAGGAGAGAGTTTTCAACCTTCAGCATAAAGCTTTTGTGTTATGCTGAAGGACAGTTATACTGGCTTTACCGATACAGCATGCTAAAGTAGACATTTTGCACCAAATTTGGTTTGGTTATGTAGTTATGCAGCAGGCAGAAGGTTAATAAACAGCCATGGTTTTAGCACTCAGGACAGGGCTGCTAAGGCAGCCGTTTTGCACCGAATTTGCGTTGGTTTTGTAGTTTTGTAGCAGGGAGAAGGTTAATGTTAGAAACAATCACAGTTTCAGCACTAGGGACAGTGCCACTAACCTTCAGCCTGCTAAGGTAGCCGTCTGGCACCAAATCTGTACTGGTTATGGGGCTACGCAGCAGAGAGAAGGTTAATGTCAATAACCACCACCATTTAAGCACCAGGGACATTAACCTTCAGTCTGCTAAGGCAGCCATTTGGCACCAAATTTGTTATTGGGTTAGGCAGCAGGGAGAAGGTTAAACATTACCTCCCAAAGCAGGAGGCAATGGCTTGGAAATGATTGAATCTGCCAGAAATGGAAGGACGGTTCTAAATATTTGATTGCAGGTCAATTTTTATTTCCAACTGGCAGCTTTGATGGTTAGCAAAGTAATTTTGTTGTGGTGCATGAATAGCTCAGGTATTGGTAAAATTTAACACACAGAGAAACAATGCTGAGTTGTTCTACTGTCACTAAGTTTATAAGGCATTTCATCTACAATGCACACTAAGATTTGTGTTTTTCTAATAAAAGAAGAATTTTCCTTGCATTTGGACGGTTATTGCAAAATATTAGAAGCACAGTTACTGTACTAATAGGCACATACTGTAACTATCTGCTAAATAATGAACAAAATGTTTCTAACAATCTACATACTACATGTAAATTACCTAAGCTTGTAATTCCACCTATAATTGCCTCATCCATTCCATTGTTTAAGTTTCTACAGCTAAAATAAGCATGAATATTCTTTCTGATGTTTAATTGGCAGCAATTTTCATCAGGTTGGTAAAGTATAGGATATAAGGGTTTTATTTTACACAACCAAAATTCCTACCTTGCTTACGTTTCATACTAATGCATCAATTTCTTGCATTTTATTCTCTCTTATAACGTCGAGAAGCAGAACTCCAGTCAGAAGCTCTGAGGAAGGTGTCTGAGAGACAATGAAACGTAAGCAAGGTAGGAAATTTGGTTGTGTAAAAGAAAACCCTTATATCCAACATATAACTCTGTACCCTGGATGTAGATTTTACCCACCATTTGTGGAGACTCCCGCATCTGCACGATGGAGGTGTCGGAGGAAGACACGTGGTTTCGCGCCAGGGACGACGGCTGATGTCGCTCGTTCACAAACCTCTTCCTGTAAGTCAGTGGGCTGTCTGACATCACGGATGACATCTGGTCTCCTGAAACATCAGGATACGGAGTCTTTCATTTCTTAAATTATAATGAAAGTTCATCTGTGTTGGTAGTAATCATAGTAAAATGATAATACCGGTAAGATGTTGAACTTAATTACACAACGGGTACACAGAGATCAAATTTTCAACAACCACTGTCACCTTCAGGATAATTAATGACCAATCACTTCCAAATGTAAACTCACAAGAGTTACGGTTACGGATATGTGACCTTATTCACACAAGACTTTATGGATACGTGACATCAGGGAGCAAACAGGGAGTTTATATCGTCCACCGTCTCTTTTATTTCTCTCATGCGTTTTTGTACTCTTCAACTCCAGGAGTACATTAATGCATTGTCTGAGTCACGTGTCTGTTAGTACATGGTCCAGAAGTTACACACCCATTAATATCTACATAGTTCTTTACAAGCACAGAATGATGAACTTTAATCCCGTGAGATGTCAGCATGTGAGTACCTGGTGGTGGTGGCTGTTGACCTTGATGATTGGCAGGTGACCTTGACCGTGACCTTGTGCGAGCTCCAGGGGGCGGACCCTGTGTGGTGTGGGCGCCGACGGGGGCTGCAAATATCACACAAACAAACAAACAAACAAACAAACAAACACATTTACACATACTGTAGGTGTGTGTAAATGCAGCTGCAGATATCAAACAAACAGAACTTTAGATAAAGAAACACATTTACACATAGCAATGGCAGCCAATTGACAATTTCATCTTCTCACTCTATTAGCAGTACAAGATTTTAATCTGTGATGCTCACTGAAATGTTGGCACACTGTTGTATCCAAAACCATGCTGAGACATGTTCCCAGAACGGGAAGACTATCCAGAACCATGCCTGATCCTAACCCAATGCAGGTCCCACTCAGGCATGGAATTAGACATTCGTGAACTGAATATCCCACCCACCTCTCCTGCGCTCAGCTTGTTGCTGCATGGTAGGCACGGTTCTGGGTACGACAAAATTACATAGGGATGGTTCTGGGTACAATAGGACTACATGTATATGCACACAGGCACAGTTCTAAGCTATCCCACCCACCTCTCCTGCGCTCAGCTTGTTGCTGCATGAGTCTGCGGCTGGGGGAAACTTCGCGGAAGGGCAGGCTGACTCCGTAACCGTGCTGGAGACTCAGTCTTCTGTCAGCTGCACATAAAGATAAAACAGATATATTATAATATTGTACAAGCAAACAGTGTAGGCATTAAGTCAATTATAGCACACTGCATATAGCATCATGAACAGAGGGAATAAAAAGGAATACAGTTGTCATGAGCAAAAATCTCTTTTCAGCTGTTGTTAAATATGACCAAGGAGGTTGCCCTGAGCTTGGCATTACTACACAAAAACCTTTCATAAGCGATTCTGTCATTCCAGGATAGACATTGTGTCCTTGGGAAAGGCATTTTGCATGACTTTCTTTACTCTAAAATGGGTGGTGACTTTGGTTGGGGAGGTGAAAGGCGATGGAAGGATAGGGATGGGCTTCTCCTTCAAATATTGTAGACACAATGTACATAACACACTGCCCTTACAGCTTCAAAAAGTCAAGTTTCCTACCTAATTGTAAGACTTAATATACACTTACATGTGAGCTCCTCTCCCAGCGAGCTCCTTGTTCTCCTGTATCTGTAAGTCGGTTCGTCTTGGTGAATGTTGGTCAGGCTCTGGGCCTTGTAGTACCTCCTCCGGGCTGGGGAGAAAAAACACGCTCTTCAGCACATTAGGAACTAAACTCTGTATGATCTCTGTCAGAATCATACAAGGTACAAATCCAGGGATGGAAAAGTAAGGAGGAAAGAGAGTAAATGGTGAGAATGGTGAAATTTGGAAAAAAAAAGTAAGAAAATAAACTGAGGAAGAAAAGCAAATTTCACAGCATCTGAGCTGCATGGTTTTGTAACAGGAGTGGAGATGTGAAAGAAATGAAGAATAGAAGCAACAAGCAACACTTACTGATCATGAGGTCTCTTCACTATGCAAAAGTAAAGTAAAACATGCCAGTGTCATGATTTGCATTCAGGACAGGGCTTACAGACTCAAGAGTGCTAACAAAAGACAACACAAGAAGACAGGTTAAGAAGGGTTTTTTACATCATGCCCCACTGTGCTACATGATAGTGGCAGAACACAAATTTGTGGAACAAAGAATGTGGTTTGACTTCTGAAAAGCAAAGACTAAGTCTCCATGCAAAAGAAACACCAGTACCAAGTCAGAAATAAAGCATAAAGGAAAATTGTTTGCAGTCTGTCATGAAAGTTCATCTGTGCTAATGGTAGTTACATGTTAAGAGTTAAAACTTTAGACCCAACACAAAAAGTCTACCAGATACCTTTGACCCAGTGTTGACGTCACACTGCAAAGAAGCCACAGGACAAGCCTCACTGGGTCAGTCTCCTGAGGAAGACCAGAGTGACTGGTCGAAAGCTCTAGGTTAGAGAACTTTTTGTGTTGGATCTGAAGTTTTAACTTTAAACATGTAACTACGAACACAGATGAACTTTCATGACAGTATAAAGGAAAACTGTCTGTATTCTGGATGGCAGGATTTGAATTGATTGAAATGGATTCTGTTGGTGGCGGGAGAAGCAACAGAAAGGAGAGAGAAAAACGGAGGAGAGAGAAAAACGGAGGCTTGACAGAAGAGGGAAACCGTTTACCTTTCTCATACTCTTCTTCATCTGCGGGGTGAAGGGTCAGCCAAGAGAGGAGGAAGTGACATGCAGAGGAAGGGAAAGGGACACACGTAACATAGGGTCGCATGCTTAGTGCCTTATACTGCAGGGTTGGACAAGTTTTCAAAAATCCACTTGCCCTATTGGGCAAGTACATGGTAATTTCTACTTGCCCGAACCAACTTTTCACTTGCCCAATGGAAATGACATGTTTCTATGCATTTTTACCGCAAGGACATTTTTCAAATGACATGTTTCTAATAGTATGCATTTTTACCACAAGGACATTTTTTCAGTGAAAAAATTAACGCTTGACCAGTCTTTCCCAAAGTAAGGAGGTTTGAGATTTGCAAATGATTCTTTGACAAAAAGTCATACTTTTGACTGAAATCAATAAAATATTATGGGAATACATTATGTGAAAATGATGGGTGATTTTGCTCCAAACACTGGGGCATAATGTCAAGTCCAAAAAATTTACAGGGGGATATTTACTTGCCCGATTACAGTGCTTTTACTTGCCCTGGGCAAGTGGGCAATGAGACTTGTCCAACCCGGTACTGTATGTATATTACACACATAAACAGCATCGCATTCTCATTACAGATAACAGAACAGGGTAACATGCCTCAGATATAGTAATCTCTAACCCATACAGGGTTGCATTCTCTTTACACGTAACATAACAGGGTTGCATGCCTAAGATGTAGTTTCTAACCCTTACATACACATAACATATTGGCATGCCTGATAGTCATTTCTAAACACACAAAACAGGGTCGCATTTTCCTTACACGTTACACATACATAAAACAGGATGACATGCCTCAGATACTACATTGTAGTCTCTTCTACACACACATCACATAAATGCTGGAAAACCTGTATACTGTATACATGTACCTGCTGGAACCACTCTACCATCTCTATTATACACATTGTTATACACAAGACCTGTACCTGTTCCTTCTAGAGCTTTACCACCAGACTGTTTAAGTTAGACACACGATTAACTTTTTCAGCGTGTGGTACTTGCCTGTGTGGGGGTGGAACGCCTTACTGTGGGTAAGGGGGGACAGGGTTGTTTGTTCGTTTGTTTGTTTATTTACCCACCTGCGGCAGTGATGAGGCTTGCCTGTGTGGGGGTGGAACGCCTTACTGTGGGTGAGGGGTGACAGGGTTGTTTGTTTGTTTGCTTGTTTGTTTGTTTACCCACCTGCGGCCGTGATGAGGCTTTGGTGGCTCCTGCTTTTCTGCAGGTCGACCGGCTTGCCTGTGTGGGGTGGAACGCCTTACTGTGGGTGAGGGGGGGACAGGGTTGTTTGTTTGTTTGTTTGTTTATTTATTTACCCACCTGCGGCAGTGATGAGGCTTGCCTGTGTGGGGGTGGAACGCCTTACTGTGGGTGAGGGAGGACAAGGTTGTTTGTTTGTTTGTTTGTTTACCCACCTGCGGCAGTGATGAGGCTTTGGTGGCTCCTGCTCTTCTGCAGATCCACCGGCTTGCCTGTGTGGGGGTGGAACGCCTTACTGTGCGTGAGGGGGGACAGGGTTTTTGGCTTGGGCAGCTCGGCGGAGTTGTTCTCGTCGTGTTCGTACAGGGTGAACCAGTGGGGCTGGTTGTCCAGGAAACTCCCGTCAGACAGATCAATCAACACCTGCATGGGGGATGAGATGATAGAATAATGTAATTAGTTTTGTAGATTGTCAAGCCTGTTGTTGCCGTTATATTTTGTCATGTTATATTTTGTCACCAGGGCAAGCCCTTGGTAATAGGCACCAGTTGGGCTGCCCTGGCTGTGAGGGTTGAACAGCCATACCAATAAAGATTCAACCTGAGAGATCTATCAACACCTGTGGAAGATAGAATGCAACATGGATGGAAAATTCAATCTGAGAGATCAAGACCTATAGAACAAGATAGAACACAACTTAGGACAGGACGTTAAGCTGTGATCCATTGTTTATTGTTCTTGTCAAAAAAAGCTTGGGGAATTTTCCCTGGCACAATGAACCTGTGAATTACAGTTTGTCTGTCTTCTCTGTCACAACCATTGGAAGAGTAGCTCTTCAGTGAACTGGTTTGAGGTAACTTTTTTACTTGGCACCAGAATTCAAATAGCATAAATTAACCCTGAGTTGGAAATCATACATTAATTAATGAGAAATGACAGTTTGTTTTCTTACCTCACCGAGGAAGTCGTTTGGGGTGAACCTGTCGTAGTCCCACACAGTGAACTCCACTGTTTTAGACTTCAGCTGGGGAAACAGCAGAATACATCAAGTTATTTACATGCTACTGTTCAATTTTGAACTTTTAATCAAACCACTACATTGATAGATGGAAACACTGTCACAACTAGGAAGAAATTTTTAAGGACTTTCCTCAACTGTTGGGGGCAAAATATCAGCATTTTTAGTTGATTCAGAACCAGAATCTTTTTTTTTTTTGCAAATCAGAAAAACATGAAGAGGCAAATCTGAGAACCAACAACTTAAATTGGTGTGGCCTAAAACATACTATCAGAACTTTGGAGTGAGCTCAAGCTGAACATCAGCTGTTCCTGTTTGTTCGTTTGTTTGTTTGTTTGTTCCTACCTGCTCTTTGGTGATTCCCTTGTAGATGACCGTCTGGTTCCATTCTGGGTTCAGGGTTTTTGGAATGTACTTTGTCCTTCTCTTGTTCTCAGCACTGCGGAAAAGCAAGGCAGGAACAGTGCTTTCAGAGTGTGAATTAACACATTGAATGGACAGCATGTCTACTAACATAATTCCACCAGGTCACATATATCTGTGTCCATAATATCACCAGGGTCCATAATATCACCACCTTGAGAAAAAGTGTGCTTTAAGATATTTTTACTGCAACATAGCCTAGGTATGTACATTTGATGTGTGAAGGAGTACATACCAAAAGTATGTTGCATGAAAAAATATCTTAAAGCAGACTGTTTCTTAAGGTGGCGATATTATGGACCCTGGTGATATTATGGACACAGATGTTGTATGCCACCCTGAAAAATGCATCTAAACAGATTTCCAATGCAACATCCCCCAGTATACTACACTCCTGTATATCCAAACTGTGCATACCTGTACCTGGGGGTGCTGCACTACAGATCTCTCAAACACACAGTTTTTTCAAAGTGGCAGATAAATGTTGATGGAGGTTATCAGCCTGTTATTATTGCACATGTCCAGGCTAAAACCTACAAATCCTGTACATCCTCAGATTGTCTTACTTCTAACAAATATTAACCTTTTCCCTGCTGCCTAACCCCATAACCAATACAAATCTGGTGCCAAAATGGCTGCCTTAGCAGGCTGAAGGTTAATGGTCCTGTCCCTAGTTCTGAAACCATGGTTGTTATTAACCTTCTTCCTGCACAAACTATCGATTGATATGCGTATTGATATAATATTTGCTCACTTCCTTCCAGGGAGCAGGTAGACCTTGACAAAGGGGTCGGAGAAACCGTTGATGTCCTTTGCGGCCAGGTTTCGTGCCCGATTGATGTTGATGATCAAGTCTTTCGTGGTCTCGTCATATCTCATCTGAAGCTACAAGTCAGGTGCAAGGGAAGGACATTAATCTTGTTGTTACGTTGGTGAAGGTTAGACATCCAGGTAATAAGACATGCCGAAATCAACTCAAGCAACTGGATATGGTTTTGGAAACGGTCAGATGTTTCAGCTAGCATCCACTAGTTTGTGCTCATAAACCTGCATTTCTCCTCTGGTCTCTCAGTCACTGACGAAAGCTAGCTGAAACGTCAGACCTTTTCTAAAATCATATCCAGTTACTTGAGTAACTGCTTTTTGGTGAATCTTGTCATTATTTGTGAAATCATGCCTGAAGGCTAATTGCTTTTACAGAGTCAAAAATACTATACAGTACAATGCAATGATAGGAAACAGACAACTAATGTCTGGAAAAACTTAATATACTTCTACTACTACGCTTAGCTATTATAGGGTTTGACTTCTTCTTTGAAGGCAGTGGATAATGAATAGGCCCATGTTATCATAATGAGTGGGTTTTGTGATCTTAGTAGAAAAGCAGGCAATAAGGCTGAAAGCCTAGAGTTACTCTTAGGGGTAGGTAGAATTGGAAAATCTGCGCACAGGTGAATAGACATACAATGTTAATATTACCTTAAATTGTCTATTTTGTAAAACTACAAAATATACATGAAGCCGATGATCTTTAATTGGCAAAATACTTTCAAAAGTATCCTCAGTTTCTGTGCAAACACTATGGGTCGACTGGCTGAGGAAAGTTGTACACTTAAGAGAAATCAGCAAAGTCAAAAATAGTCTTACCTCAATTTCGCCGGTTATATCAGTTTCTTTAGACGCCTCTTTTGATGGTAGCTTGTCAGGGAGAAAAGAGAACAGATGACAAACAGATTCCAAATGCTAGAACAACTAAAAAGATATTCAAGGTTATAACATATTCCCATAAAGTGAAACTATCACTCAGCCCCCTTTAGCAAGCTCTGGCAAAAGAGTCTCTTGACTGAATTTTCGCCTTGTTCCTGGTTTCTCACTGACGTTTGTTCCAGACCATCGGGCAAATGGAGCACAGTAACTGAAGAAGGCCTGGGGTTCAGATTGTTCACATAGAAATTTTCTGTCCTTCCAGCCAAATGATTAACGAAAAATTGCCTGGTTTGAAAGAAAACAGTAAAATCACAGATAACCGAGGTTTCAGCACCAAGGACAGAGATAACATCATCATCTATTTCTGGAAGCATTAAGTCATTTGCGTGTTCCATGAGGAATGGGTTGATTTTATTCTTCCTAGGGTAGCATACATGCCGAATTATTGAGCACACATTGTCTGTCTGCCTGGTTTTCTTGGCATGAAATAATGTATTACAATGTTGACGAATGATAATGACAGTGTCTGGAGCATTTAGGGTTACTTAGGTGTGGACTGGAACATGTAAATCTTCCCTCTTGCTGAAAGTGACTCTACTGAAAGTTTGGGAGCAGAAATATTTCTTTCACTGTTGTTTTTGGGGTTGACTGTAATATTTAACAGTTAGATAGCCAGCCTACTAAATCTATGCAAGGCACATTGCTTTTAGACTACTGGGCAACAGCCTAGGATACCACCAAACATTTTCTTCATCCGAGCACTCAATCAACATGTCATTCTCTAAGGCCAGGATTCAAACCTAGTTTGAAACAGCCTTGAAGAACAGGATCCCATGCTGCTATCTGAGAAAATTATCTCCCCTCCTTCAGTACCCGCAGGCTTGTCTCTGCCCTTCACATGAAACCTGCCGTATCCCTGCCTTATCTGCTCAAGTGCAGCTGGCTGCATGTGATATGTGGGTATTGTTGGGCATAGGAAAATAAATGTTGTGTTTCCTGTTTCCCAACCGACCTTAGAAAAAAACTGCAAATCCTAGCCTTTTTTATGCAGAAATGACATGTGTGCATTGTTAGGCCTAGGAAAAAAATGTTGTGTTTCCTGTTTCTAAACTGACCCTAGAAAACATGCTGACCCTAGCTTTTTTTGGGAGGATCCCTGCAAGGGACATAAATTTTTTTATCTGCTGGTGTGCAGCTGGCTAGGCCTAGGAAAAAAAATGTTGTGTTTCCTGTTTCCCGACCACCTTAGAAAAAAACTGCAGACCCTAGCCTTTTTATACGGACCTCTGCAGGGGGCATAAATTTTTCAAGATGATTAACCTTTTCTAGCTCCATGATCTGACACCTGAGTGATGAAACATGGTAATCTGTTTTCCTACATTAACATTGGAACTATGAGTTTCCCCGTTCAAGTTTTAAATTGTAATTGTTAAACTGTGTTGTATAAGTTAAATCACCATATACTATACAGAGATCTGGTCAAAGCTTAAAAAAAAGGAAGAAAAAAAATAATCCCTATACTTTTTATACCCTAATTTTTTCAGGACTGAAACAGGAAACACAATACTTTTTTTTCCTAGGCCATGTCAGAATGTGTGCATAGATAGCAGAGCAGGAGGAGGATAGAAAGGCACGATAATGCAGGTGAAATGAAAGTCTGATCCGGCCACCCTGAGGGGTGGGTACAGAACAGGAACTGTCTTCCCACAGTCAAGAGGGCCTGCATGGGGGGGTCCCAACAACGCTCTACGCTATAATGCAGCAGGTAACATGAAAGTCTGATCCAGCCAGCCTGAGGGCTGGGTACAGAACAGGAACTGTCTTCCCACAGTCAAGGGGGCCTGCATGGGGGGGTCCCAACAACGCTCCACGCTATAATGCAGCAGGTAACATGAAAGTCTGATCCAGCCAGTCTGAGGGCTGCATATATACAAAACAAGAACTATCTTCCCACAGTCAAAGGTAACTGGCTGTCATCTGCATGCCGTGGCTTTACATACTTCCTTGTCTCTCTATGATAAGCGTTGAGTGTGAGTGCAGATAATTACCACACTGATGGGTTCAGCATTTTCAGTGTTTAAGTGAGATGTGTGTTCTAACAGTCTACTACTAAAAGGCATATTTCATAACAATTACCTAGTACATTATTATCTATGTAAGTCTTATATAAGTCTGACTTTCTTGTACCTTGCGTGGTGCTTGTCTTGCCATGGCAGTTTACTCTGGCAGGATTGGACTAGTTTGTGTGCACTCTATGATTGTACCTTGCTGAGTATAGTAAGTAAGTAAGTACTAAGTAAGTAAGTGAGTACTAAGTAAGTAAGTAAGTAAGTAACGTTGTACCTTGCGTGATGCTTGTCTCGCCATGGCAGGTGACTCTGGCAGGATTGGACTAGTTTGTGTGCACTCTATGATTGTACCTTGCTGAGTATAGTAAGTAAGTAAGTACTAAGTAAGTAAGTAAGTAAGTAAGTTACTAAGTAAGTAGCGTTGTACCTTGCGTGGTGCTTGTCTCGCCATGGCAGGTGACGCTGGCAGGATTGGACTGGTTTGTAAGTAAGTAAGTAAGTACTAAGTAAGTACTAAGTAAGTAAGTACGAAGTAAGTATTACTAAGTAATTACTAAGTAAGTAAGTAACGTTGTACCTTGCGTGGTGCTTGTCTCGCCAGGGCAGGTGACGCTGGCAGGATTGGACTAGTCTGTGTGCTAGCTGAGTATAGTAAGTAAGTAAGTAAGTACTAAGTAAGTAAGTGAGTACTGAGTAAGTAGTAAGTAAGTAAGTAAGTAACGTTGTACCTTGCGTGGTGCTTGTCTCGCCAGGGCAGGTGACGCTGGCAGGATTGGACTAGTCTGTGTGCTAGCTGAGTATAGTAAGTAAGTAAGTAAGTACTAAGTAAGTAAGTGAGTACTGAGTAAGTAGTAAGTAAGTAAGTAAGTAACGTTGTACCTTGCGTGGTGCTTGTCTCGCCAGGGCAGGTGACGCTGGCAGGATTGGACTAGGAGCTGTACTGGAAGCAGTGGAAAGACTAGGTGAGGCAATGTTACAGGGGGAGGCAGAGGGCCTGCATGGGGGGGCCCGGTTCTCGCCCCTCACGGTCGCCAGTTGGGCTGCCAGCTGGTCAGGGTCCACCGCCGACTCCACCGAATACTGCCTGCAAGGACCTTCGGAGAGAGAAGGAGCAGTTTCCAGTCAATACAAGATCATTTCTCAGTCAATACAAGAGTTCCTGATTGACTAAATAGGCAATGAAGACAACTATTGTATACAGTGACTAGATAGGTTTACATGCATCGCCTATCCAGAAATGTGCCAGAGCACGGTTTTGGATAAAGCATGGTTCTGGATACAATAAAACATTTCCGAATAAATAAATGAATTCCTGTGTGACTGGGTATAGGCAACTTGTCATGAAGACAACTATCGTATCCAGAACCATGCCTGAAATAGGTCTATATGCATGGCCCACTCCGGCCTGAGAACATGAGCTTGGTTTTGGATAAAACACGGCTCTGGATGCAATGAGGACATTTTCTGTTCAGCTGAAAGTACAGTTACTGTAAAAATTATGCACTATCATCTTCTTTCTGCAGAACTTCGTCCTATGTCAGTTATTTCCCAGGAATTAGTACGTACTGGTAACACACTAGATGGTAGTGTATCTGGTAAATTTTAGATAAAACACATTAGAATATTGCAAATTCTGATGACCTTTAAATCTAAATACTTTAACCTGTAGCAGGATGGTACATAACTTAGAAAAAGAATTTTGCAATTGGAATTGTGAAGGACTAAAAGCATGCAAATTGATATAAAACGTTTATTATGCATGTATCTGAGTGACAAATATACACGACAGACTGAGCTCCTACACAAAGACAAACATGTAAGGTGAAGAAAAGGTTACGTTGACAGAAAAAACTGTTACAAGTAAGAAGAACATAAATTCAAGCTAATACATGTACTTGTAGAATGACCACCAAACCTTCACTGTTTTATTCTACAAGACAGCCTTGAAATAAAGAGTGTTTCATCCTAAAAAAATGTTTTAGGTCAAACACTTCAAATCTGAAGAAAACTCTGTAAGTTTAATATACAAATTGTCAACTCCTGGTACCTAGTTTGATATAAATCAAAATGTTTTTATCATCCAGTTGTTGAATCAACAGTTACTGCTTTCTTGTGTAATAAATGCTTTGTTGGAAGCTTTAAAGTGATGAAAGGAAATTGAAGAAGTTGGAAGTACCGAAAATTCTGTTGGCAGCAAAGTCTTTATCATCTACCAAAAAACAGTTACTGAAGCAACTGGATATGATTTTGGAAACGGTCAGACGTTTCAGCTAGTATCCACTAGCCTTCGTCAGTGACTGAGAGACATGCAGGTTTATAAGCACAAACTATTGATTGATATGCAAATAAAGTGAAGACAATTTTTCGATTCCGATTCTGTCTATCATCCAGTTGTTGAAGCAACTGCTTTCTAGTGTAATAATAAATTCTTGGAAGCTTATTACTGTGTTGAAAGGGAAAAAGTTGAAGAAGTCTGAGTACCAAAAATTCTGTCAGCAGCAAAGTCTGCGTGTCGGCCTGCGGGCCCCAGTACCAGCTCGGAGTCGGGCGCTAACCGGGTGCCTGTTGGGCAGCACTGGCTTCGGGAGGGGAAGGGGGGCAACACATGATACACATGCGCAGTTCACTATACATTACACTTACTAGACTAGTAGTAGTAGTAGGCATCTTTCCATCACTATACACTACACTATCAGCATTTTTCCATAAGATTCTACGGTAGACCTCTATTGCATTTCCATTCTACCGGCTATTATATATAAGGCAAAAATATCATTCTTCTCTACAAGACAAAGCAGAAGGGGAGATTAGTTAGTGAGTGAGTGGGATGCCCTGGTTAGCAACAGGTTAATAAGTTAACAAGTTAGAATAGTTATATACTCCTGGGTGCTTAAGCATTTTATGACATCACAAAATGCACACCACATCCTTTAAAGAGTAACTAAAAGGTAACTGTAAATGTAACTAAAAATCGATGAAGACTTTTTATGTTCTAATATCTTTTCAGTCTGGTTATACATGTATCCATCCATTTTAAATTTGTGTCATTTGTTGCCTAATTTTTTAATGTGTTTCTAGATAACTACAAACAGGCCTGAAAGGTTTCAGATTATTTATCATCTAACACGATTGACTTTGGTTTGTGTTTCACAGGAACTTGTGGAGACAGTACATGGTATCACCAGAAGGATGAACTAAACTTCATTTGTGTGGACAAGTAATGGCCATGACACAGTGTAATGTCATAAATTGGTTAAAGCATTTGGATTGTATTATACTAAGACTAGTCTTAAGAGCCTGATTTTCATCTGTGGTTAGAATGTCAGTGCAAAAGAAAGGTGGTTATGAGGGGGTGGTGTGTTAAGTCTTGGGTTGGGTCTCAGGTCTCCATTCCCCTGGCCATAGATAATGAACGGTCCCTTACCTGGAAAGGGTAGTTTGAGCCTTGAGAGAGAGAAGCAGGTGCAGAGATTAGGGGGAACAGTAGAGTAGTAACACACAAGTGGAGCATACATAACGTTGTATAAACATACATCACGTTATATAAACATACATAACATTGTATAAACATACATAGAAAATTGTATAACCAACACATATCACAGTGTACCGATTCATACATGGGAGAGAAATGCATTGCCATGACAAGGGATAGCAAAATTGGTGTAAATAGCAGCTTTTTCCCCTTAGACAGAAACAAAAGCACAACATTTAACTGTTTTGAAGGGAAGTACAACAGGTTAAAACAAAGAAATACAGAAGTATAGGAACACTGACAAGCCACTGTACAGTTCTTTGTACATATTAACATTTTACGTAACATTGTGATGCCATCACAAACAGAAGTAGAACCATAACATGTACACACCTTTGCAGTGAGACTTATGTCACATCAAATTCATTCTATACCTCATGAAAGAAATCTTGGTTCAAATCTTTTCTACAGTAGTTCAAATCTTAATGCCCCGCCTTGCTTTCATTTTTCATATGATGCAGTTGTAATGAAAATGCTCTGAAATGTATGTATGAGGAAGTTTACTGGAAGAAGTCGAAGGCCTTACCAAAGCCAGATCTTTTCCTGTCAGCTGCTGATTGATGCTGTGTGTCCGACAGCATGTTGAAATCACTAAAAACAAAATGAAAGCATGTTGGAATAGACTGTTTCTGATCGAACATCATACAACAACAGACAGCATGTTGAAATCACTGGGAACAAAACAATGGTATGGATTTGAGTCATGAAATGAAAGCATGACATTTACCTTCAAACCAACTGTATACTGTAACGTCAATTCACTTTATATTAAGCAAAACTTCCTGGTCTGAAGAAAATGAATATGTTCAAAGAATTTAGTCTTCATGGTGGCAGCAAATTAGAATGTCTGGTACAAAACTACTCCAGAGTAATAAAATTTGTGTGTATAATGGAGCAGACTGATTCAACAGATGATGCAAGTTCTGGCTGCTAAACATAGACCCACTAGCTGACCTTACCTTCTGATGACGATTTCTATTTCTCCGTTGGACACACTGACAATCTTCAGAACTTCCTCGTAAGTCTTGCCTGTCAGCTTCGCTCCGTTCCACTCCAGTACCTGGGCACCTGTTATATAAACAAACATTATACACCTGCCACATTTACATTCAAAATTATACACCTGGGCACCTGTTATATTAACAAACATTATATACACCTGGGCACCTGTCAGAGTTAACACATGTTATACACCTGCCACATATAATAGCTAGCGTAGTAGTAGAAGTAGAAGTTTTTCCAGACAGTTGTTGCCTGTCTTCTATTACTGTATTGCGCTGAGTAGTATACTAACTTTACTGTAAAAGCAATTAGTCTTTATTTGGGCATGATTTTGCAAATAAAGTTTTTTTCTGTCACATGCACCATGGATTTCACAAGACTGCTCTCTCTTTTTTCTCTTCCTCTACTTGACATATAAATTGCAAAAATTCAGTGATTCTACACATTGCACCTTGTACAAGTGTTGTACAATAACTTTAGTTAACAGTCCTTACCCTCGAACAGCCCCTCCACCTGTTCTGCCACTCCGCCAGGGTAAATCCTGGCCACGTATGCCCCGATCTCACCCCGGCCTCCTGGGATCTCTTTTCCACCGACTACACGCAAACCCAGGCCGTTACCTACACAACACACAACAGGGGTACACATAACTCAGGTTAGTCATCATCATACATGTATAATCACAGTAAATCCTGGCCACGTAGGCCCCGATCTCCCCCCTTCCACCCGGGATCTCTTTCCCACCGACTACACGCAGGCCCAGGCCGTTACCTGTACAGGTGAGATAACTCAGTCATCATCACATAACCACCAACCACTCTCAGCCCCAGGCCGTTACCTATATACAGAGGTACATGTAACTCAGGTTAGTCATATAACCGCAGGCTGGGGTAAATCCTGGCCACGTACTGCCCCGATCTCACCCCTTCCACCCGGGATCTCCTTTCCTCCAACCACTACACGTAAACCCAGGCCGTTACATGTACAGGTGAGAAAACTCAGAGTCAGTCATCTCATACAACCACCGACCATTCTCAGCCCCAGGCCATTACCTACATACAACAGGGGTACATGTACGTCAGGATTAGTCTCATCTCATCTATCCCGCACGTCAGCAGAATGTACTGCACCTGTGCAGAAACTCAATTTTTCATGGTTTTCATTGGATTTTCGGTCAACGTTGCATCAGAATTTTGTTGCTTGTTGCAGATATCTTTTTCGACATAACATTTGGAAACCACAAACAGGATGTTAACCTTATATACACAAATACTACCTTATATGAGACTTCCTACCCAAGTGCTATGCACAATACACTACAGATTTTGCACAGGTGCAGGACGTTCTGCCGACGTGCTTGTCTATCTCTATCCGACAACCTATCAAATAACCAAGGACCATACTCAGGCCCACTCTCAAGTCATTACCTTCAGAACTCAGGGTTAGTCAGAACCAACAAATTAAATTAATGTGGCCTAATTCAGGGTCACTCCTGACAGACACAATGGCAATAAATGATAAAGTTAAATCTGCCAGGCCGAGGGTAATGGCCCTTCTACCATTACAGGCCACATTACGCTGACCAGACATTCATTTTGTGTTTCAAGTTGTTCCAACAGGTTTCAGGATGATGCAGTACTACAGTATAGCTGGAAACACAATTTGGGTCTCAAGGATCATCATCATGTTGATGATTCCGTCAGAAGGCAATCCCATTTGTTGTTTTTTGTTAAATTGGCTTGGAGAGATCTTCAACTAAGTACAGGACAATTCACAGACTTTTTGATATCACTTCTGAACTAATTCTAGGCTCCAATATGTAAATTATCGTGTGATATCTCTAACATACATATTGTAAGAATTAGGAGAGTAGAAACAGAAAGACCCGGGCCGGGGTTCGAACCCACGAAAAAAACCCGGGCACCAGTCCACATGCCGGCGCTCTAACCACTCGGCTAAAAGGTCTAGACCCATCGGCCGGGTCAGTTGGTAGCGCCTATAAACCCCCCACTGTTACAATTAATGTTTGCCCTCACCTTGTACAGACCTGTCCTTGGGGTCCCTGCTGAGGCAAGTGTTACTGTTAGGGTAGAGTTAGGGTTTAACTAAAGGGTTCTCAGGTTAGTGACATGGTTTTGCTCACCTTGCACAGACCTGTCCTTGGGGTCCCTGCTGAGGTAGTACTTCCTGGTTGGAAACTCGTACATGGACGTCGGACGCTGGGCCTGAAAATGGAGAAACACACAAATAACAATTGTCGTGTTTAACATTAAATGCAATATTAAACACAGTGTAGAGAGGGCCACGAAGCTACCTACTGATGGCACCATGAGTGACACGTTCCTGGGCAACTGTTACAAGTCAAGTAAGTGAGTCAATCTTTAAAATCCTTAATTGACCCAGAGCCCTTATTTTATAGATTCGTAAGTTCTGGGCCCTCCATGCACTTCCCCTTCTATTCATTCATCTTCTAACCAACATTACTTTTAAAAATACAATTGTCATGATCAGTCACTGATGGTGTATGGACACTAACAAATTGCATGCATTCGGTCTCCCTGAACCTGTAGCAAATTATTTACTAAGTCAAAATATTTAAGTAATTGTAGCATCTGAATTTTAAAAATCATTGAAAACTGCACCAACTTTCAACCAATCAAGTTCTTGCAACAATCAACCAATCAGGATGCTTCTAACTGTTCTAGTAATAACCAATCAGAAGGCAGATGCTAATCAATCAAGTTCTTACAACAATCAGCCAATCAGGATGCTTCTAACTGTTCTAGTAACAACCAATGAGAAGGCAGGTGTCAGGTTAGCCTCAGTTGATGAAATGTAAACACAGTCTGCCTGGAGAACCTCAACTTTGTGAGGAAAAATTCAACAGAGGAGGTGAGTTAGAATTTTGTTCACCTTTTCCAGGGATAGATACTGTTAATTTTGACAAAATCTGACCAAACTCTAAACCTTAAAGTACCTCCTAGGACGACAAGTTTGAGTTTTAAAAGACGTACTTTTCTCTTCCTGTGCTGTTCCAAGATGGTGACGCCCCCCTCCTCCAGCCGTTCCATGAAGGGCTGGTCGTCTTCGTCCATTTCGTTCCACACGTCCCTGGATAACTGGGCCACGGAGTCGTGAAGCCGGAACGTTCCGGTGTACGCTTGCAAGTTCAAGAACAAAATAAGGTTAGTCACAAACTTTGTAGCCTCCTATATGTGTTTTTCGGTGAATAGGCAGACCCCTACCGAATCTTGAAGACGGAACGTTCCTATGTAGGCTTGGGCGACCAACACTCTCCAACACTCCAGGTTCGAACATTGACAACACAAGGAAACTAACTTCAACCTGGTTAGAATAAACAAGCAAACAAACAAACAAACAAGAAAATTAACAGACTTTAACCAAAACCCCTGACAGCTGCGCTACTATGTTATGTAGACGACGGGGCTCCCGCGTTTTTAGCATGGCAAGTATTTTGTCGTCTGCAGATTATAATTTGGTCACATTTCCTTGGAAATGGCATCAGTCTGGATCCACAGAATTTTGTTTACACAAAGATGAAGGGAACAACATTCTCACCACATCGTTGGACGAAATATTTGGACGATTCTTACGTTAGATCGAGCATGATGCGTTTCCAAAAGTTGTTGTTGTTCCAAGAATTTCAATATGGCGCCTAAAAGGTCAGAGGCCATAGCGCAGTTTGATGACCCAGATATTGTCGCCAAGTGTTCGCTTACAGGTTTGTCCCCGAACTTTTTTGTACTCAGGAATATATTGAGTCTTACTCTTGATTCATGTATTCTTCGGGTTAAAAAAAATAACGTTCTCCTTGATTGAAAGCTCTCGGCTCTTGAGTACGTAGTAAATTCCCTTCAATATAGCGCCTAAAGAGTCAAGGGTCATAGTTCAGTACTAATATGGTGGCACATATATTGTCGCCGTATGTTCGCCAACTGATAAGGTTTAGCCCAGAACTCTGTTTATTCTAAGGAATCTAGCTATTGGTGGCATTTGATTCATGTATTCTTCGAGTTTAAAAAAATAACGTTAACGTTCCCCTTGATTGAAAGCTCCCAGCTCTTGGGTACGTAGTAAATTTTCTTATCTAACTCATGTTAAAGCAATTAAGCTCGCAGCGCCTACAAGAGTTCCTTTCTGATGTTCCAAGTCGGCTGTCTGACTGGCTAGAGATTGTGGCTGCACATTTGTCACTCTAGAACTACTTGTAATTCCGGGGAATGTAACTGTACTTTGGGGCAATTCGTTACTGACAACCCCGTGCTTTTCCCGCAGCCCCGACTTTGCGCGAAACGGCGATCAGCATTAATCATTGCCTGGTAGATAAACTTGATGTGCGCGTCCCTCAATTCGGGTCACATGGGGAGACCGCGTCCTTATAACAAAGGGAAAGGGAATAAATCACACAGATAGCAGTAACGCAATCATAGAAATCTATCCCTGCCCCTGTTGGCGATTACTGGGTTGATATAACGCTGTGAATTCCTGTACTACCGCAAACTGTTCACGAAACACAGAATTTGCTTGAAGATTTTAGTGAAAACCTTTCGTTTTGTGATATTTTCCTCGTTGCGTAATATCTGTGTGTGTGTGTGCGTACGTCCGTCTGTGTGTGTGTGTGTGTGTGTGTGTGTGTGTGTGTGTGTTAGCACTTGCATATGCTCTAGATTGTCTACATACGAGCAAAATCAAATTACTATGAATATGCACGGAACAGTAATATAAAATTAGTCTTGAATTATATTCTAAAGAAAAACGAGTGGTTTAGAAAAGACGGGAATTATGGTTGGTGTTTTCAAACCAATAGGAACCCATTGCTAAAAAGTTTGCACAATATATCTGCTTTGACACATCGTAATGTTTTGCTTTTTACTTTTGCCTCGGGTTATAGCCCATTTGCTAGAACGTGTGCGACGGAAACTATGCCCTTGAGCCGTGTAGTTTTGTAGAATAGATGTTACAGTAGCTGGAGTGGCGAGCCATTTGCGTCGCGTCTCATTCCCGTGCGCACTCGGACCCAAATTGGGGTCGCGCTCCATCCACGCCTGAAGTGCGTGGGAATCTTCGGCAGACCAACCAATTTCAGGGCTCCAAATTCATATTTGGGAATAGGTGCACCATAAAAAATTGGATGCACAAAAACCTTTTTGGGTGCACAATATAAAACAGAATAAGGAGAATGTCAGCAAACACTAACTATGTTTCATTTCTACAGAAAAGTGCTATAACAATATAACAATCTACAATCATATTCATAACAACGCTTTTCTTATTTTTCTGACACTTAAATGTTAAGAATATTCTACATTTAACATCTTTACAATTGTAAACCTACGAAAATATTCAGAACAAAATTGGGTGCACAGCTCCAGATTTGGGTGCACTAAAGTTCACATGCACCCAGTATTTCCAGCCCTGAGCCAAGTAAGATATCTGTCACTGAGGGTCTCCATTTTCATTTCTGGTCGTTGCCCCAAGGCGTCGCCCTTTCTCTAACTATTAACCTTTGAAATGGACAAGACGGAAATATCGTCTCAAGTGAGTCTGCCATATCCGGAAGGAAGATATGAGGTCTAACGTTTTAGTATTTTCTCACCGCAGTTACTTTGTGCTTTGGGACTGTGAATTTGTAGACGAATAGTTGTATAGCAGTACGTCGATGACGGTTAGACATCCAGGTAATAGGATACCAAAATGACAGTTACTAAAAGAATCGGAAGATCTTAAAATTAGTCTGGTGATCTCTCCCACGCCGTCAGTCATAAGAGAACTTTTCTACCATCAACTGTTGAACTTATGGCATAAACTTATAATATAAAAATGTCATTACAGCATAATCTTGAGAGACAAATGCAGTTACTTATTTCGTCGTCCGAGAAGGGTTGCCTGTCATCATAGCATCCAATACCTTTTTCCAGTGTATATGAGTACTTTGTGTTGCAATTAAAACCTGCAACATCCTTCATCTAACTGCAGCATGTACTTATAAAGATGCCATTACAGCATAATCTTGTGAGGCAAATGTACTTACCTTCGTCGTCCGAGAAGGGTTGCCTGTCGTCTTAGCCCGGCCCCTTCCCCAGTTTCAAGTAGCATCTACCAACTTTTGGCAGTGTATAGAGTATTTTTTTATTTTCAAGTAAACAAGTGCAGCCTTCACTGACCCAGTGTTGACGTCACACTTCAAAGAAGCCACGTGACAAGCCTCACTGGGTCAGTCTACTGAGGAAGACCAGAGTGACTGGTCGAAGGAGAGATAATTTTTTGTGTTGGATCTAAAGTTTTAACTCTAAAGAAGTGCTGCACATACTTGTAAACTTGATAAACTAAAGTACTTACTTTCGTCGTCCGAGAAGGGTTGCCTGTCATCGTAGCCCCTGCCCCTGCCGAACATCTCGTGGTCGGGGAAGGAGTGCGCCATGGCGGCGGGGCCGGAGGGCAGGTCGCCCCGACGGCTTCTGCGGGGAGGGATGGCGATGGGCGCAGAGCCGGGCGGGCCTACCGGCGAAACCGGGCTGTCGTCCTTGTAGTCCCTGTTTATTGGGACAAAAAGGGTTAAATCCTTCCTGCTAGCGCTATAAAACTGCAACATGATGTAAACAAGGAAAACATATTAGGCTGCTGCGGGGAGGGATGGCGATGGGCGCCGAGCCGGGCGGACCGACCGGGCTCACCGGGCTGTCGTCCTTGTAGTCCCTGTTTAGTATTAAAGGAAAGTGATCTCGATCCAATTTTAGCTCACTGATGAAGAGCTTATCTTCTACGGGTTGTGACAAAGAAGACATGCGTTATGTACAGTATTTACAGGTTCATTGTACCGGGGAAATTCCCCATATGTAGCTCGTATTAGCAAGCGCAATGAAGAGTGGACCACAGCTTAACTTAACGTCCCGTCCTTGGGACTGCGACCCTTTCCAGTAGTGTGCATGTCGGGTGAGCGACAACAGCCGGGATTCAAACTCCCAACCTCTTGGTCCAGACACAGATCGCTTACCTTTATTTTTTAGGTATTGTTTTATTTACGTTGTGTCTGTTGCCATGTTTCAATCTCTTGTTAATCTGTTCTTGTATGTACATGTATGCATAGGGGCCTTAATTTAAGAATAAATAAAATAAAAATCTACCTGCTGCGGCTGCGTCTGGGCAGACTGTCTGCGCGAATGTTCAGATCTGTGGGTTTCCGTACCGTGGAGTACAGCCGGCTCGTGGACGCGTACATCTGCCGCGGGCCCCTCCGCATGTGCCCTGCAGAATGTTTTTCATTACAACATTTTTTTTTAATTTGCAATTTAACATGGATAATACAGGACATGGTGGTGAGGTACTCTAGCTATAGCTAATTTTAACCTCACCACCAAACATACAAGTATACAGTGACAAAATACATGTTAAAGACCCCATCACACTTATCGAAAGGAGTAGGGGACCTTCCCGGTGTGAGTGGTTCAAACCTTACAGTCTGGTCTCGGGGTTGACATCTTTGAAAAGGTGATAGTCACCTGTTATGTCAATCCTTCCACAAATGTGGTAAATCTTCATAAATAAATGAATAAATGAATAAATACAAGTTGTTAAAACTTGAGTGTGTCGTGACCACGTCTGGTGATTACATGTTGGGATAAAAAAAAAAAATAGGTCCTACCTGCCGAGTTCCTGCCAGGGATGCTCTCTAGCGACCCGACGTGCCAGGCCGACTTGGACACGCCCCTGTCCAGAGACGCGCTGGCCTGTACAAGCCTCTCCTTGTCTACAGACTCAACTAACAAACAACAAACAAACAAACAAACGAGTCCTACCTGCGGAGTTCCTGCCAGGGATGCTCTCTAGTGACCCGACGTGCCAGGCGGACTTGGACACGCCCCTGTCCAGAGACGCGCTGGCCTGTACAAGCCTCTCCTTGTCAACAGACTCAACCTGCTTGTACTTCCCTTCCAGTAGAATTTCGTACCTTAGGAACATGAAACATATTTTTTCAACTTTATTGTTCAAATATACAAGATGTATAAGTTCATATACGCAAGTGTACGGTACAAAGTATAAAGTTCAAGTACATCGGTAACTTTTTACATATTTCTTAATGAACATTCAGCTTTACACAGTGAAACAATATCTATTTAACTAGTTCCGTATTAATATGTATAGATATGAACATATGTTTTTGAAGATAGATTAAAAAAAAAACACAAATGAACTTTCTTTTCATTTGTATATGTGTGAAAGTTTGGGTAGTAACAATTGCAAAGTACTCTATCTTGTATTTCTCGGTTAAGACACAAAGATAATTATAGTAAACTCCTAAGAGATAATGTGTTCTATACTTTCCTGTATTTTTGTTCTTTGTACACAAAGGTAGGCAAAAGTAGGCATTTCGTCGGTCTTACGAGATCATGAATTTCAAAGTACTTCATCTACACCATCGCATTAGTAATGGTTGTTTTACAATATCTTATAGAATTAAATGCCGTGGCGCACAGACGCACAGAAAAGGTTAAAAAAAGAATTTGGTACCTAATTCTGGACTTCTTGCCGTCGTCGTCCCCGGAAGTGGAGCCCCGGCGGTGCATGGCCTTCTCTATCTGCGACATAGTCTCGTTCCCAATGATGCTGCGCTGGGACGGGGAACGAGACTGGGCCAGGGAGGACTGGGAGGCCTCTCGGGTCCGGGGTAGGGTCATGGAGCCCCCCGCCTCCGCTATAGATTCAGATTCAGATTTTATTACCACGAAAGTTCATCTGTGTTGGTAGTTTCATGTTTAAAGTTAAGACTTTTGGTCCAACACAAAAATTTCTCTCACATCATGGCCCATCACCCTACATTGAACCGCGACGGGGGCCGACATCGTCTACAAAATACCTTTGACCCAGTGTTGACGCCACACTTCAAAGAAGCCACGTGACAAGCGTCACTGGGTCAGTCTACTGAGGAAGACCAGAGTGACTGGTCGAAAGCTCTAGGTGAGAGAATTTTTTTGTGTTGGACCAAAAGTCTTAACTTTAAACAGATTTTATTACCAATGACATAGCAGGTACAATATAAAATCATGATCACAACACCTGAATTGCGTCATTGCTTGAAGATCCGCCTTTAAAATCCAAGTATAAAATTCATAATACATGATAAAATACAATTCTAAAATTTCATATCAGGAATAAGATATAAAGGGATATCAGGTAACCTATTTACAAAATGTTTCTGGTGATAGCAGCAGACATGTACATGTATGAGCGTGTGTTACAGGTCAGCTCAAACAAACTCAGTGTATTCTTACAAGTCCGGATCCAAGGCCAGTGAACCAGTATGCATTACAAGTACGATAAGTTTTAACAACGTGATCTACGCACTGAGTAGAGTCCTGGCCGACTCGCCCGGGTCTCCCAGCGAGTACAGCCTGCCGAAGCCGTCGTGAGAGTTGCTGGAGTGCAGCTCGTTTCCCGGCGTTTCCCTGATGGGGGAGAATCTGCTGAGAGGGTCTGATCCCTGCCGCCTGTGCTTCTTCTTAGGCATGGACGGGGTGGTGGACGGCGGGGCCATCGCGTGCTTCAAACCTGATAATGATAATAATAATAAAAGTTCTATACAGCATTGTACTTGTAACGTATCAGTTAAAACCCCTGCGGAGCCCAACAATTGTTGTTTTGCACATACAGCACCACCTATATAGCACTATGTATATGTACGATTTGGGTTTTTTTTCTCGTGCACACCGCAGCAAAACACAACGAATGCGGAAGTAACTATGCCACCGCAGGGCAAAAAAAAAGCGGGGGTCTATGACCTAATTAAGACTTGAAATTTTTGTAAAATATTGTGTAAAAAAATTCCAGCAGGACAAGGGTTAAAGTAAAAACAAATGTCAGCGCAACTATTCGAAATTGTTAACAGGTGATACAAAAGGACTAAGGGCAAACCTCCGGCGTCTGTAGCTGTGACGGCTGGCTTCGGTTTCCTGTCCTCCCGTCGCAGGGACTCCACGCTAACGGCGTGCCTAGGGGTATCTACTGGAGGGGAAGTGATTTTCGATCCGGTCTCGCTCAGCTGTTTACGGAGGGTCTTGAACTCTTCGCTCTGCTCGAGCTCGTCTGCCAAGTCCTTGGCTGAGACGGCTTTCTCCTGCTTCTCCTCCGGAAAGGAGCTGTCGTCCAGGAGATCGTGGAGAGATGGCACTCTTCTTTGGGCTGGGAATGAGCTTCCCTTTCTCTGTGTGCTGGAGGGTTCTACTGAGTCCAACTCGTCCAGCCCAAACAAGCGATTCGCGTCCGTCTCGATCTCTTTAATAATCTCGGAGATGTCCGTGACGGTTTCGTAGTTGATGCGTTTCTCCATCATGGCTTTGTAGGACTCGTCTTCGGGTAGCTCCGGGCTGCTGGACCGGCTGGAGCGGCGGCTGTCGTGCGCGAGGTCGTCCCGCAGATCCCTCCTCTCCCGCCGGCTTCTCCCGGGCACGGTGGCGCTATTCTCACCCGGGGCGCCGTCCAAACTCGCCGCGCGACCCGCCAGCCGGCCGGCACGGCTCTCCCTGCCGTCTGCACGACCCTCTCGGCTGCTCTCCTCCTTACCACCCGCTAAACATTAAAATCAAAGATAAGCATTAATCATGATAATTCCAATGTTACAAATCATATTCTCGAAGAAACACATGCCATGCATAAACATATGTATATTACATGTGTTACTCAAGGACTGTCATGAGCTGTTATGCAGAGAAGACCATGAAATTGCAACATTATGTAACCCAACACCAGTCACTAGACGTTAACAAATCATGTCATTGGCCAGGTCAGAGGTCACTGTTTGTAGAAGAAGAAGAAGAAGAGGAAGAAACTGAGCAAAAACAATATGTTTTCCTTCGGTAAACATTAAACAAGTCATAAATCCTATAAAATCACGACTGGCAGTTCTGCAGCCTTACCGTCCTTCGCGTTGGCCGGCGTGTAGGTCCACCCGCTCTTCAGCGAGTAGCTGTCCACATGCTCCCCGGGAGCGCGCTCTTTGCTGCCTGATGAGGTTTTCTCCTGGTCAGATGAGGCAGCCGCGGCCGCGTCCCGCTCGGCAGAGAGGGCCCGGGTACGGCTCACCTCGCTGTCTGAGTAGAAGCCCCGATCGTCGGGCGGGGAGAGGATGGAGTCCAGATGCAGCTTCCCCTCCGCCCGCAGCTTCGCGCGCAGACGCGCCTTCTCCACCTGCTTTCGCGCCATTTCCAGATCCATCATCTTCTTACGCTCAGTTGAACGGTCAGTTGTTCTGTCGGCTGCTGTCCGCTCGGCTGTCCGTTCGGCTGTCCGCTCGGCTGTCCGCTCGGCTGTCCGTTCGGCTGTCCGTTCGGCTGTCCGCTCGGCTGTCCGCTCGGCTGTCCGCTCGGCTGTCCGTTCGGCTATCCGCTCAACTGGCCGCTCGGCTGTCCGCTCTGTCGATCGCTCCGTCATTCTACCAACAGGGCGTTCAGCTGTAGTTAAAATAAGACATTGAGTAAGACGATTTTGATTCCTGTTATGTATTTGATGGGGAAAAGGGGGGGGGGACTGACTCTGGACACAGCCCCGGACACAGCTGCAGATAGGGCCAGATGGAAATTCTTCCTGTCGCCTCAAGAACCACTAGGTTCAGAAGATGGTTGAGTGAATGAGTGAGTGAGTGATTGAGTGATTAGATGGGAATTCCGTCGATCGCTCATTCATTCTACCAGGAGGTCGTTCAGCTGTAGATAAAACATTTGAACAGTTAGTATAGTAGAACATTCATCGATCAGTACATTTCTTTTTAAAGGCAGCAAACACGTACCTTCGGATTTTCGACGTCCACTGCACGCCTTGAGCATGGAGTGCTCTAGTCTCGCTACTAACTATCAATCTATACGTGACTGATGAACCTCTTCAACAAAGACATTTGAAGGCTGAATGAAAATTGAGTGAGACAATTTTGACTGTTAGCTGAAAACACGTTACACACAAGCTAGTACCGGCCTACTTTCGTATTAGAAGATCCCAATTTTGCGAGGAACAGTTGGCACTGCATTGAACTACCCTTTATGAATATTTCAGCGTTGCTTTTAGCATCAGGCTCGTCTGTAACGTACATGCATGTACCATCCATTTCAGAAAATGCACAAAAGCACTCTTTCTTCCAACGGGGAATAGCTCAGAATGATGCTTCAGCCGATATCTGCTAAGCCAGCAGCTGTCTCGCGTTATCCCTGCGTAGGCAGGGAAGTTTGAACTGCCACTGGCGACGTCATGAGTCACCGCTCTGACGAACATCTGGGACGTCACTCGGCAAATGCTTAGAGAGCCCGTGTCGTAGGTGTGCTATATTGGTCGTTACCACTGTAATTCCTGATTTTTTTCACTGTACTGTTATTTTCACCGCACTTCTTGGAGGTGCAAGCTTCGGCAAGGCACTGAAAGTCTAGAGAGCGACTTGCAGAGCAAAGACAATGACAGAAAAGGAAATAACAATGCTTGCAATCAGCCTTCACTTGTATGATCTGCAACAAGCCCTGCAGAAGCAGAGCTGGGTTAGCTGCACACCGCCGGGACCACAAACTGTGAACTGATCGTCCAACAAGATGAAAAGGACGATGATGATGATGATGTTATATTTACTGATTTCACTGTCGCTTCTGTACAGTGAACTTATCATTACAGTTATCAAATAATTCCTGGACTTTCTTTTACCTGCACCTATTGCCACCGTGAACATATAGTTCCGTGAACATGTCCAATTTTTTAGGCCGTGAAATTTTGCTACCGTGAACATAAAGTGAATTACAGCCCGAGTCGTAGGCGTTCTCTGTTGGACGTTACCATTTAGACAGCTTTAGGAGGTTTCTGAACACCGCTGTGTGATCGTGCCGCCCAGGTAAGTGGCGTCATCGCGGGGATGACTCCGTGCTAGCCACACGCACGTAGCTTGTGCCGGCTCCACGCTCCACACGTGCGCACTCATGGTGAGGCTACGCCCACTACTCTCCAAGCAGAGGTTGTGGGGGAATGATCGTTAGCTTTTTATATATGGTCCTTTACTTCTGCCGCAACCTTGGGTCGCGCATGGACCCTCTCTGGCCAACAGATTACTGCCTGGCCAATTTGATACTCTATTCTTCGACCGTAGGATCTGCTTGGAGATTAATACCTACGTCGGTGAAGGTTAGACATAAAAAAAAACAGATACAGTTTTGGCATATCGCTCCTACACTACCCTACTGTTCTATAGGGGCATATTGCCCCTATACTTACAGCCTACTATTCTAGTACGCTCCTATACCACCATACTGTTCTATAGGGGCATATTGCCCATATACTGCAGCCTACTGATCTAGTGCGACTCTTAATTCCCCAGACCGTTCCACGGCTTCAAACGGTTAAACCGTTCTTTCATTTTTTATGAAACCCCCCTCCGCACACCCCGCCGTGCGGGCTATTAGCTGGGCCGGGCGCTTCCGGCGGCCTTCGGGTTTTCCCAGGGGAAGCAGCTCAGGCGATTTCTTCCGTGGGCGGACAAAACCGAGCATTAGTCAAGTATGTAGCGCTTTAGAAAAGAGAGAAAGAATTGTAACCGACAGAAATTTTTAATGTATACATCATGTCAATACGCCATTTACGTTATATTTATGTAGTTATAGTTTCCAGGAATAGACTAGTATGAGACCACATTGTCATCCTTGCCATACATTGTACCATGCACAACTGTCGAGCAATAAAGATCAATAAAGATTAAACCGAGCATTAGTCAAAAGCAATCAAGACATGTTCAGGGGATGGCAGCGAAAGACAGTTTTGGTTTCTGAAGATAACACGCGAATATTCAACGTAACGTCGGTTTCATAGTAAAATATTGAACTTTAATCCACCACAAGGATTACACAGATAAATTTCACGTCTCTGCAACCGTAACTCTCGCGAGATCACGTTGTGAAGTGATTGGTCATTAATCATCCTGATGATGGCGACAGTGGTCGCTGAAAATTTGAATGTGTAACCCCTATGTTGGAATTAAGTTCAACGTTTTACTATTATCATTACCAACACAGATGACCTTTCATGGCCACTTTGGTTTGATACACTATGGAAGTGAGCAAAAACGGGTTTATTCGCTATTGCGGAACGAAAACATCCCTATACACACGCATAGATCAACATGTTTAAGTACACACGTACATGTACTTGTACATGTAATGTTTGCAAAAGCAAAATCTCGCCGTAAAGCCATTTTTCCTATATATAATCGCTGCGTCGATCCCACCTCAGTTACAGCGCCCGATACGTCAGTACTTCCCATGTGATTTCCGGTGACGACTTCGGTCTTATGGGATGAAATTTACTGCGACATCTATGTAGATATACAAGTCTTTTACGAGTAGCAACAATCCTCATTTTTCCTGTTTGTATCGGCAACCACGTACATGTATTTATTTAGCACAAAAGATAAGACGTCGGTGATTTAGCAAAGAGATCACTTTATCTGACCACGAACTAGTTATCTCATCCCAACAGTCGTGCAGACATCTATCGACCATCCACCACTTACCAGACGTGTTTGAGTAGTAGGTGACGCGTTAGTATTCTCTATGACGCGTTAGTGTTCTCAATGATTCCCGGTTACGACTGAGGTCTTATGGGATAAAATTTACTGCATCCGGCTGCGACAAGCCTGATCCATACGGATTATAATATTGTACAGGAAATGCAGTGGAGGATGAATTGCACTTTACTTGTCACTGCCCTCGTTATAGCACCGAAAGAGATCAGTTATTTGAAATGGTCACCAAAATGTTCCCCAGCTTTATTCACCTTCCCAGCCTACAAAAAACTGCATTTCTATTAACACCTCCCTATTCGTATATCTCGCAAAATGTCGGCCATTTCATACTCCACTGCACACGGAAAAGAAATCAAACCCAACAATAACTACAAATGTATATCTAAAGTAGCATTAGCATTACTTATTGTCATTTTTACTGTTCATTTTTGTTATCATGTTCTTGCAATTAGCCTTCGGGCATGAATTACGTTCTGTATAATATCTACTGCAGTAACCAAAATGAACCAGGGATTTACTGTGCGTATCCATGGAATAAGGTAAAAATAAGGTCAGGCTGCCAAATTTATAACGATTTAAAAATAACGCTCTTCATACGAAATTGGAACAAATTAGATGTTTATCTCCAGTAATATGTAAAATTAATTGCAATGCCCCATATTAATTGACCGTAATATGACCAAAAAAGCTCTCTATGTACATTGCCTTTAGAGTATGTACATTGTGTTTGAGTTACAACCAGTGTAAATCGTAACGCAAACATATACATTAGAAACAGGACATAAATCAACCAAATGGATGTAGAATTCAACAGAACTCAATTGTCTAAGAGATAAATAATTATGTATGTAACCTCCAATGTACAGGTATCTAGAAAGACGAAACGGTATAGATTTGGCCTTAATATGACAGGTTATATTAATGCACCATAAAAGCTGTCGATAAAGACATTAAATTAATGAATTCACCCTTTTCTCACTACATTCTAGCATTACCACAATATTATAACAGTTTGAACGACCAGCCCGTCCTACGTGCACTCTGTCCTACCTCTGTATGTAACAGATTATATTAATGCACCAATTCAAAGAGTAAACGAGCGAATTCACCCTTTCTAGGTAATAAAACCATACTCTAGTGTTACCACAATCGTTATAATACCAAGTAACATCTAGCGTCAGTGCATACTGTGAATTCCAGTCAGAATTACCCTGATGAAGATGACAGACGGTCATCGAAACGTCGGCTCGTGAAAAATAAATGGTTGTGACCAAAGAACTTTGCTATTCATTCGTTTACCAACCTGATGATATTATTTACGAATCGTTATAACAGATTTACCGATCGGCCTGTCCTACGTGCACTCCGTCCTACCTGCGATCCTCTCCAAATATTAGTACAGCGGTTTTGTTCGCGTCTGTTGGTTTACCTTCCCTTTTCTCCGATATTATCCCAGCCATGGCGACGGTCGGCAAACAACGTTACACTGGGTCACGTTTCCAACATGGCTGCGGATAGTCCTTTGGTTCAGATCTGGCCTAGGAAATAAATGTTGTGTTTCCTGTTTCCCGACCGACCCGAGAAAAACCTACCAAACCTAGCCTTTTTGTGTAGACCCCTGCAAGGGACGTCGACATACATTTTTAAAATCTGATCG